CGATCTCGTATAACATTTTGCCAAGCTCAGACGAGTATCGTACAAATCGGTTTTAAACGTTTTGAGTGCGAGAATTACCATTCGAGTTCAGTGACTACTGCAGTATTGATTGCGGAGATATCAATATAACGAATCAAATCATTCAAAGAAAAATCATTCAAATTTGGAACTTCTGATTTAATTGGAGTTCATTGAACTTTATAGAAATAATTTTTTATAATATTTTATACCTATATATTTTTAATTTTGTAACATTTTTTAATTCAACATTTTTTTTTCGTTTTCGTTACATTAGTTCTTGTCTTAGAAAAGCAGTGATAGTTAAAACAACCTCGCGCTGGCACAAAAACTCGAGATACGATTTTTGCTTTCTATTTACACGGAGACGTTCAATATTCAAAGGCGAGGCGATTATCGCTCACGTGGAAGGACGACAATCGCGAATGTTTAGACGAGGAAAGTTTTTATATTCTTTCGATAATCGTATCTTCGAGACGAGAAACTCTCTCCATCTAAATAGGCCTTAAAAAGGGCCAGCAGAGGGCCGGACGGGCAGGCACAAATAATTCGAGCCACCTTGCATTTTTATTCTTAAAGGGCAAGAATGTAAAAATGTAGTTATCGTCGAAGAAAAAGTTATTTCCGGTTTTTAAAATTCAAATTTTCAATAAGGATTTAAGGAAATGCCGTTTAGTACATTAGTTTCAAAGTTGCATAATAGTTGTTGATCAATCAAGCATTTTAAACAATGCTTGATTGATCAAGAACTATTATGCAACTATAAAGGGCATTTAATATTGAATCGAATTATGTGTCCGGGAGTATATATAGTATAGTCTTCATGATATTTCAATTGAAATAAGATACTAATTTCAATGCCTCGAGACCGGCCTTGGAGCATGCGGTGCATATATTATTTTGCGGTACATTAGAAACCGCGGCGGTAGGCACGCCGGTGCCGCACCGGGATCCATTTGTATCCGCCGAAATCGTCCGGTATGTGCCGAAATCTGCCTGAACGCACCGGGGACTTTTCCATTGTGTAGTCACGAGTAGAAGGAAATCAAATCCTAGCGACCGCTGGCATGTGGGCGGATGCCGCGGAATTCCAGCCAACTCTGCGGTACGCCGACAGTAAGGGATATCCCTCATTAGAGTGCGCTGGGTGGGCCTGAAATTGCTTGGCGAACCGAGGCAGTCTTTTTTATTTTTTTCTTGTCATAAATGTTACAATTGAATATTTTTTTCATGGATCTGAGATGGTGACCTTGAACCTTATAATTATCTCAGGTCACAGAACGATATTCAAAATTTCGACTTCGTTCGCGACCTGTAGAATTGTATTTATTACAAATTTTACGCATGTTGGTTGAGGAACGGTCGAGTAATGAATGTATCCCTCGCTGCGCTTCCGTAAATATTACATATTACAAATTAGTGGAAAGTGAAAAGAAAAATACAGATTGTATAAAATAGGACAGTTAATATATTAAGTATAATTTCATTGTGGCAGACCGAATATTAAGCATGAAAACATATTACATACATACATACATACACTTCACGCCTTTTTCCCATCGGGGTAGGCAGAGACAACAGTCTTCCACTTGCTACGATCCTGACACATATCATTCGCCTCATTAACACGCATCAATGCTTTCATATACGCTCGTCGGTTAGGGGTACTCTTGACCTGGCCCTTCTTTAAAATGGCCTCAATTTGCTCATGATAAGTTCTCCTTGGTCGGTCCATACCAACTTGCCCGCTCACACTCGCCTTATAAATCTGTTTCGTCACTCTTCTTTCATTCTTACTCTCTACATGTCAGAACCATCTAAGCATCCCTTTCTCTATCTTTGTCACTATATCTTCTTCCACGCCGCCACGCTCTCTTATCACACTGTTTCGTAATTTATCCATCCGAGTCGCTCCAGCCATACTCCTCAAAGCTTTCATTTCTACTGCATTAATTATACTTTCATGCTTCTACTGCAAAACCCAACATTCACTACCATACATAAGTGTAGGAACCAGCACTCTCTCTCCCCCACCCCCACGCACAGCCAATCGTCCTTTTAGACACTTTCTGGCTGCCAATGAAAGTATGCAAGGCACCATTCACCTGATTCCCTGCGCTCACTCTTCTTTCAATGTCTTTCACATTTTCCATCACACGTAAACATAGAACCCAAATACACAAACTCTTTCACTTGTTCCAATTTCTCTCCTTCAATCAATATCGTGCAATTCGTCATATATTCTTCTCTTTCAAAAACCATTACTCTTGTCTTTCCCACATCAATTTCATTCCTTTCCTTTTAAGAGTACGTATGCATAATATTTACATTCCATCCATCATACCATCTCCTGCAACTCCTCCACTGACGACGCTAATACCACCTGGTCATCGGCGTATATTTTATATTCCTTCTCAAACAAACTTTCAAAATACTCCTTCTATCTCTTTAATACGCATTCTTCTCCTTTCACTATACTTCCATCGTAGCCTCTGATTTTTTGCAGATGCGAAGTTGTGATCTCTCTCTCTTCTCTAGCTGTTCTTAAGGACTTCCAAAACTTAATGTTGCTTTGAAAGTCATCAGGTAATCTCCTGTCAAACTCGTCATTCCGGCACTCTTTCTTCCTTCCCACAACATCTTTCGCTACATGTTTTATTCTTTTAAACTCTTTCCTTGCCTCGTTTACATCCTCTTTCGTTGCCTTTTGTATTCTTTCATTAGCTTTCATAGATAACCAATCTAACCACGCTTTCTTCTTATCAAACAGAACATTCCGTTCATCTTCCTCACACAAACATTCCTCGTCTTCAGCCCTTTCTTCCTTTTGGATACTTCACGCACATCAGTAGCGACCTCTACCATTCCTTCCTTAAACAGCTTCCATAAATCTTCAATACTACATACTTCGTCTAGTCCATCAAACCCTTCAAACAGTTTACTCACATATTCATTTTTCACATCTGTCTTCTTGACAACATATTAAGGTATATTTAACGGGTTTTTTACTGATCCCATGTCGGCCGTGATAATGGGACCTGTAAATGGCCCAAGTTTGTTTGTAAAAAACAAAAATACGCGACTTAGATCCGAGAAAATAGTTTATTTTCCTAAGTATACTCCTACTAACTATACTCCTACTATTGGACGAGTAGTGACAAATCACTAGTGTAGATAATTATAAACTACTAGATTACGGCCGCTTTCCGGTACCTTACCATTTAAGTTTCATTAGTTAATCTCCCATTAGCAATAATGCACATTAGCATTCGTTACATGTTTCTCGTATAGTATTATCAGCATTTTCATCCTTCATTAACTAATGGGAGGGACTAATTAATTGCTGCCAAATGTATCAAATATTAACAACATCAAAATCTTTAGAAGAAAAAAATGTAAATTCCGGACTTTTAATGAATATTCCTAGCTTTCTTCTAAATATAATATTAATGTCGTTATGTATCGTGCATGTGTATGAACGAAGCCAATTTTCGCGTGCGCGCACGCGCGGACTTTCTATCTGTGACATACGTGGACATGTTAGCGAGCGCGGCCGGAGAAGAGGCGACAAGGGGGGGATTCGCCTCTCGTATTTCAGAATATGCCTGTAATGTTGGTTCTTACTTTAATTTGTAATATATTTAAATTATTTACATTTGAAATGTGATATTGATAAGCTCTGCTGTTCATTCATAAGGCAGAGAAGAATGAACAAGAAACTCATGAAAAGGGAGTTGCTGTTTGTAAAGAAACATTTGTACACATTTATCATTTACAATATTTGTGATATTGTATTTTTCTACTGTGTCTAAGAGAGACTATAATTTTAAACACTAAATGAATTATATTGCAACTGAACGTGTCTACAAAGAAATCAACAGCATTATAGGGTTGAGAAAACACGCTAAGCTCAGGTCATAAAGTACAAGCTTTAACAGATCTAACTTTTTTAATGTTTTTACGTGTTGAATATTTTTTCGGTATCTATAAAGTTTTCTTTAGTACTTTGATTTAAACTTTCGCGATGTTTACACATTATTTGATTTTTAATTCGGGATTTAATTACGTATATAACATATTTTATTTACCTCGACGTTTCGGACATATTGCAACGTCCATGGCCTCGAAGGGACTGAAGAGGCGGATGTCAGATTCTTCTAGCCATATCACCTAAGGATGTAATCCTCTTTCAGTCTCAAGGCATTTACAAGATTAATTGCAGTTGTAGGAGTTTCTATACTGGGCAGATAAAATGCACCATAGCGGAAAGAGATAAATAACACATCGCGGCTGTTAAGAACCGTCAGCTCAATAAGTCTGCAATAGCCGACCATTTGCTGGAATCAGGGTCATACCACTGGATTGAGCTTCATAATCCTAAGATCCTGTCTACAGCATGTCATCACTATAGTAGAATCGTACGTGAAGCTATTAAAACTAAAAAACACCGTAATTTCAACCGAGAAGATGGTTTTAAGCTTTCATCGTTATGGGGCCCAGTTATCACTTCACCTGTTTCCACCGCCAAACTGTTACGTGAGCGTTACTGTGGTCCGGTTTTGAAGGGTAATTGGTGCTAGTGAAATTGCAGCCACATGTGGTTGTCGCCTTACGTGTCAGGGCAAAGGGAGCAGTGGCAGTGCCTTTAGGTTTAAGCTCCGTGTGACTATTTGCTTTATCGGCGAAGGAAAATATTGTAACGAACCCTGCAAGTCGTAAGGGAGCGACATAATCGTAGGAAAGATATGTGGGTTATACGGCATAAGGTAGTCACCACACTTATGGCCATGGTACCGATTTAGCTCAGCTTGTCAGGTGACTCCTTTAGGCCCAAAGCGACCCGAGTCCAGTTGCAATTGTATTGATTGTTGACGATTGTTTGTCTTATTGCATGACACATTTTTTGTAAAGTTGGCAACAGATTCATAGAAGAGAATAAAGAAAATATTTCCGTTTTATGACTTTATAATTTTATCTTTCAGGAAGCATGACAGCAAGATTGGCTGGAACAATCTTTTACACATCCGCCTTGTTAGCCCTTGTTTTATCCTGGAGATTATCAGCAAATTGGGAGACGATATCCACCGAATGGGCCTTGGTGGAGCGAAAATCCAACATGGTCGTACAACCTGATAAAACTGTAAAAAGGCGAATGATTGTGGTTATGATTGTGATGACAGCGTTTGCTACACGTAAGTGGGTTAAAGGCAGTAATACTTCTTACCCTTGATATAATACAGTCACATGTGAACATGCGTCAAAAGTGGTTATTATATGAAAAAAATTATATATATACATATATCGCTCGTTTGATGCAACGTCGTCGTAATTGTAATTTTGGCAAAACTGAATTAAGTATATTAACACAGCTGTACTTTTTTTTCGAGGGGAAATCCTCCTAGGGTACCTCTACGCGCGGGATAAAGGAAAGGTTAAAGTAAAAAGTTAAGGTAAAACCCCACAGTGGCCTTCTCGGTTGCTCGACTTGAGAAAGATTCTCCGCGCCGATCGCCCGCAGCCGCAAAGGGCGCACCTTTGCGGCTGCCGTCGAGCGGGATCGGCCCTCTCCCGATCACGTTCAGCGATCTCCTTCTGAAGCATCACCGCTTTACAGAAAGAGACCACTGCCAGGATGGGACTCTTGGTCTGCCATCACAGCCGCTACTATGCCTAGTGAAGAGAGAGATCTCCGGGCAATCAGATACGGAGGATCCTGGTTCCTCCCACAATGGTGGCATTGCGTTGTCGATCCAATTCAGATTCTTTCTATTCCCACATACTTCTGACATTAATTTAATCCTAAACATAATAAAACAATTGCCGGCACTATCCATAAAAATCTGTGCAATAAGCGCTATCTAGTTGATTTGTTTGTTATCACTACAAATTAGAGTAGCTTTGACAAATTGCACCTTGTCAATATAAAACAACTTAGTAAGAGTAGATAGATAGTAGTAGGAGCTCTACTCTCTGTAAAAAAGTTCGTCCAGTGAAGTACTGCCATCTTGTAAAATATATAGATTTTAAGACTTTCGTGGTTATTCACTAAATGATTATCACTAGTAACAGGTTTCTTACCACGGTATAACTTCTTTTTATTTTCCCGATATTTCCCGTTATCAAAGTGAAACTTCAAGAAAATAACATCCCAATGGAGATTGCTCAATTACTTGAACATTGCTTAAATTCGAGCTACTTCCTGTATAATGGTCAATACTACCTTCAGATTGATGGTGTAGCGATGGGCAGTCCCGTTGCTCCCGTTGTTGCCAACATTTGGATGGAACACTATGAACACGCCGCCATTCTGTCAGCACCATCAACAATAAAATTATGGAAGAGGTATGTTGATGACGTATTTTGCATAATGGAAGGAAAGGAGCAACATATACAAAATTATTTAGCACGTCTTAATAACACCCATAACAAAATGAAGTTCACTTGTGAAATTGAGAAAAATCGCGCGCTTGCATTTTTGGATGTATTGGTCAAAGTCCGACAAGACGGTTCACTCGGTCATTCTGTGTACAGAAAACCAACACACACGGACAAATATTTACATGCCACTTCACATCATCACCCAAAACACCTACATTCGGTCGTCAGGTCATTAACCAATAGAGCTTATGATCTTTGTGATTCACACCACCTACCACAGGAACAGGAGCACGTTAAGACGGTTTTGCGACAGAATGGGTACAAAATAAAAACATTTAAACCAATACACAAAAGGAAGAAGCAAATTGACGTACAGAGACTACCAGTTTTTCTGCCCTATGTACAAGGGGTGACAGATAAAATAGCCAGGTTCACCCCCTTAACCAAAATAGGAAAAATGTTACGTTCACCAAAAGACCACCTTCCTTTACAAACACCGGGTGTCTATAAAGTGAACTGCAGTTGTGGGAGCTCGTATATCGGTCAGACTAAACGAACAATTGTCGATCGTATGAAGGAACACATCCGAGCAGTAAAAAACAATGATGCACAGAAGTCGGCTATAGCACAACATCTCACACAGACTGACACTAACCACTGGATCGAGTTGCATAGCCCCCAGGTACTCTCGACAGAACGTCACTACATACCACGGTTGGTACGAGAAGCCATCGAGATCACGAAGTACAAAACATTTAACCGTGATGATGGTTTTAAACTGTCCAGTGCATGGAATCCGGTCCTTAGTGCGTGCAGTAATAAAAACAAAAACACCTCGAGTTCAGTTTCGCGTGTGGATACAGTAAGTGTGGTTTGTGTGAAAAAAGTGAGTGACAATGGTAACGCCACAACAAATCGCGATGAAGGTAGTCGTCGACAGCGCAAGAGGGTAGACAGATATGTCTGCCCATAAAGCTGTCATCTGCCGCCGTCCAGTCAACCAGTGACCATGGAGCGTGCAACCGTTCCGAAATATCGGGAAAATAAAAAGAAGTTATACCGTGGTAAGAAACCTGTTACTAGTGATAATCATCTTGTAAAATGTAAGCATTACTGCGTTCCGGTTCGGAAGAGTAAGGGTGCTGGTGAAATTACAGGCACATAGAACTTGTCAACGTATGTCTCTGGGTGACGGGCACAGTGGCAGTACCCCTTAGATCTTTGCGATCAAAAACTCTAAGTGGCAATGCGACTGTTAGTCCATGCTCTATATTCATAGTATAGGGAATTCTCTAGTTTGAGACCAGGCAACTGGTGTGGTTGCCTAGCACATTATTAATTTAGACTAGTTCATGTTCGTTCTTTTTATAAAACTTTTCCAACCTTGAACCCTCCTAATTTAGCACTCGCAATCCCTAGAATTTCTTACTTATACGTACTTCTCAGGGGAATTTGCGTTATTCTTCTAGAGTTTAATCATTGTAATGATATCATGAGTAATTTGCCTACTTATGAAAATAAAGATATAAAGACTCTGTGGTCGAGTGGCTTCATCGAGTATGTAACCAAAAATAGAGACGAAATGTCATTTAATTTGTTTGAAAACTATTCTGCCATATTATTACGGTGACAACTGCGCTTCGATTGGCCGAATTCGAAACAATTGACGGGTGTCATTAATTGTTTCACCTCAAACTGTCCAGTTTAACTTGAGCTATGCTATAATGAACGAAAATCGAAAATATACATATTTAATTACCGATGAAATGTGATACCGTTTGTTTTGTAATTAGATGTTTTGCTGTTTTTCCCACACCAGCAAATACAACAGCCCCTATTGTTAAAGATATTATCTTTATTACAATGGTCACAGGTCACTTGTTGGCGCTATACTATTGCAGCTTTTTAATTTGTGATTTCAGTACAACTTAAGTATTTATAATCTCAGTACAGAGTACTAAAAAAACCGACCTGAAAAGTACGTGGAATGTCATATATTTGCCAAGTTTTATTGAAATCGGTTATCGGAAAGTGCGCAAACCCGGATTCATCCCCTAGTTCGCCACTATACGGAAATTGGCACAGGAGATAATAAAAATCGGTTCTCACTACTCAAAGTATATTGAGAGAGAAAAACGCCTTGAATTGGAGAATAGCAAAACCAACCATTAAAATAATTACTCCTTACCCATAGAGGTAGATGATTTTTTTCCAAAATTAAATGGGACCACTATGGAGGTATCCTCTTTCCAACAAAAAAAGAATCTTCAAAATCGGTTGCCAAATACCGGAGTTATCGTGTAACATACATACAAACCTCATCATATTTACCTGATGAGTTGTCAGAGATGAATGGCCTTTATTTCGTCTCTTTTCCTGGTTATATACTCGATGATTGGCTTGCACACTGGTTTTCATGGTGTCGCCATCTCTGAGGTCCCAGGTTCGATCCCTCGCCGGGTCATGTAGAAATCTTCGCTATTTTAGATTGTTTTGGGTCTGGGTGTTTGTGTTACCGTCGTTGTTTCCGATTTCCATAACACAAGCGCATGACGAAAAAAAACTGAAAAGTATGCTTTCTGAATTGGTTCTCTCACTTCTAGACTTTCTTACTAAAAGTTGTGAATTATTTTGAGCTTTACACCATTCGTTTATTTATTTATTAAACAATTCATTGCATACTGTTTGCAGGTCAATATACAAACGCAATAACAATCATAAGGATAAGTGGGTAGTACTCAAGTATACAATTACGATTACAAAACAATAATAATAGCATTAATGTGTCAGATACCTACACTTGATGCCAACAAATCGAACAAAATTGAACAATTACAACATTAAAATAAAGAATCGCATATAGTTCAAGTCACATAATACTGCTGTATTATATATACGTTCGGTTTTACAGCCTTCTTAAATCACAATACTGCGCTTGAAACATTGTATAGGATTTGAAAGCTTTTTTCTTCAGTGAATCAGTGAGTTATTTGTGTTCTTTTTGCTCTTCATAGTCTTGAATTAGGTTTTTTTTTCAGTCGAACACTTAATGAGCATTCTTTCACAAATAGAATACGGTTCTTCTTTGTCTGTAATGTTGGAGACATACATATTGAATTCGCATGGCTTCATTTTAGTACCAAGTAAGTGAATTTTTACATGTTATTTTATATTTCTCTAAAGTATTATAAATTTAAATTTCCTTTGTTAAGGACCGAATTCTCAAACCGAATCCTCAGTTAAACAAGATAAGATTTCCAATTTTTAGCAGTCAGATAGCACCTAAATATGAAATAAACCTTTAACGGAGGACTATAGTTTTCTGTCCCTTCAGGGTCCAGTTAGGACTGTACTTTTGTTAGTATTGTCATTTTTAGGTTATTTTTATGTGGCATTTAATTGGCAATTGTTAAAGCAATGATTGAACAATTAGAAAAAATTCCTTCGATCCGGAAGCCACGAAACAAAACAGCGGACTTCACAAATTTTTCTATGTACTTGTTGTCGTATCTTTGTATTTGGTTTTACAATGGCTTTTTAGCCGTAGCGCCATCTATGAGAAATCTATGAAAGTATTTTGTCACCCAATTAGATACCTTTACGGCTACCAGCCCTTTTCACTGTATTTAAATTTTTATTGAATCGATATTTAATTGTTTTTTTGTGAAATTACTCCACTGGTTATAATTATTAATACAAAGAAAACGAAAACTTAGAAAAAAATATACTTCAGTACTTTATTTGTTATTTTTGTTGCAATTCAAGAAGTAGTTTTGTGTTTATTTGGAATTAGAAATCAGATATCAGTACATGTTCAAAATGTGTGAATTTTTAAAGTAAACAATTATACATGAGCTACGGTGAGGCAGCAGATGCTGTTCGAGTCCAGTTGGATTGAAGAAATTTTTTGTGTTTGTTTGATCTTTGTATTATTAATAATAACAACTAACTGGTGAAGCGTTTTCACAAAAAATGTATCCAATATCATGGTAAAAAAACGTCGTGATATTAAATAAAATTAATGGTGACAATTTTTATCTACAAGAATCTTGAAAATCTTTTCGCGAAACGCGATAGCGTTATTATTGCAATTAAGAACAATTATTATTGAATTTTGTTTATGTTTCTATGATTGTTATCTGCTTTATTAACATTTCCTGTGATTAAGTTTCCAGTCTCAATATGAAAAGACTTTATATTCCTTTGTCACAATTACTTTAAAATGTTTTAATTTTTTTAACTTTCAGATGATTATTCCATATGGATTGCTATACCACTGTTTGTTATGAGTAACATAGCAACTATACTGTGGAATTTGGAAGATCTTCTCATCGTGCTTATCAGCTTAGGTCTTTCTTCTCGGTATCAGAGGCTAAACTTATGTGTAGAGAAAGCTACTGTGTTTGACAAAACTGACAAAAAATGGTCCAAAGTAAGGCTTACAAATATAGTATATTGTTCTTTTTTTTTTACGAATTTATCTACCAAATTCGATACCTATTTAAAAAGCAGTGGTCACATCTATTTTGAGTAAAGTATTTGAAATTGAAATAACATTTATTAGGACTCGAACAAACGGATCTCGACTCACACTCCCCCTTCTTCTAAGGGCGATGTTATACAACGCGTTGCATCGGCGGCGGCGTTGCGTCGCCTGTGTGACATCACTCTAACGTAACACCGCTCTGTACCGGTGCTACATTAACAACAATTACCTTAATTGAAGACTTTTTTGGTTCGGTTTTTTTCTATTTTAAACATTTACCTACCAACAAATGGTCGTCGGGTCTAATACAAAAACCACGAAATAAATGTCCGAAGTTAACCTATACGTAATAAATTGTAACGTCATTGTCGTACTGCCTAATTTTGCTTGCAATAATTTAAGGGTCCGAAAACACCATATTCAGCTTCTACTGGAAATTTAACAAAATGCACCATATTTAGCTTCGACTGAAAATTACGTGAACACAAGAGTAATGGAGTAGCCGTTATCGTAAATATGAATTAATTTTTATATATATATTATTATGTCGAATTTTGTACAAATTCACTTAAAGAGTTGGGCAGATACATACATACAAATATTACTACAAATGTGAAAATAAGCGTGTCCTATAAGTAATGTACCGATATTCCAACTAAAAGTAAACTCAAATATCCGTAATTTCGAAAACCGATTTATAATAAAACCGTTACGCTTTCAAGTAATTTTGATGCTTTTTACAAAGGCAAAATTAGGTTTTGTTTTGTAATCTTCCTAAAAAAATACATTTGATATTACGAAAATTCGAGTTAACGTTATTTCGGGCAAATGTATTTTCTAACTTCTGAGGTAATCCCAAGCCGTAAAACGAGTTCACCAATATTTTGTTAGTTATTGCTAACGTTTAATAAAAAAAATTTAAAAATAAGATTAAGATCAAAGCGATTCTATAGTTTCTATGTTGTAAATATATTAATCGCTTGTGGTTCGAACAATTGAAAATGACCAAGAGGTTTATATAAGCTTCTTGAAAATGATGTAATGAGTCTCTTTCCATCGCATGGAATGTGTAGAAAAAGGACAGTTAGCTATTTGATTATTTTGTGTGCTTTTGTAATTTATATTTAGGATTCATTTATATATATATATATATATATATATATATATATATATATATTAAATACTATGAAACTGTACAAAATAACACTTAAATGAGAACTATGATAACACAATATATTTGTTTAGTGAAAATATGATACAAAAGCCTGTTTTTACACTTTACTACAGTAATTTAACAAAAAGTAATTTATCGAGTTCTTAGTAACAAAGTAATTTTACAACTTATTATTATATGGTACTGCATGATTGACAACCGCGCTGTCAGTCGAACAAACGAAGACTGTTGCGCGATTGACGCTCTGTATGTGATTTTAACGCCCTATAGGTGGTGACACTTTTTGGCGCGGACCCGATGTCCATTTATTGGTAGATCAATGGTTTTAAATATTAATCTAAATAATAAAATTGACGTATGTTGACAAGCATATTTTTTCGGAATACCTTTTTTTTACTGATTCTCAGATATTTTGTTAGGTTATACAAAACGACGATGGATTATAAGACAATATTTTCTATTGCACTACCTCGGTGGCTTAGCGGTTTGTACAGTGGACGCTAGATGACGAGGTTCCGAGTTCATTTCCCGGCAGGACCAAATAATTTTTTCTAGTGTGGGTGTTTTGGGTAGTGCCCCGGATTACATTCCCTTGCTCTGATACTCATAGCGTGATTGCCTGGCACATTACATTATTTGGAGTTCCCGGGTTCGATTCCCAGTAGGACCAATTTGGGACACCACTTTTTTAAATTACTCATGGTGCTCCCGAATTAATTTCGGTGCTGTGGTAGGTACTTATACAACAGAAAATTTTGTATTAATACCACAGGTTTGTTTTGTTTGAAGGTATAGAGCTCTCAGACAGTGGCACGACAATAGTGGCATGATAAATAATGACACATGGTAATATGAACACATTTTGACTAGAAATATGAAGATACATATATGTGGCAAAATCTTAACAATAAAAATTCAGCTCTTAGGGTTAACTTAATCTTCGTTTTTTGAACATACGTGTACAAAAAGAAATAAAAATCTCTATAGTGCAACAGCTCTATTGCCCGCCATCTTTCTTCCTCTTCGTTCTTTCACTCACTCATTTATTACTCTCATTCACGCCTGTCCTACCGTTGCATTCCTAATTACATTAACTTGGGATACAGCTACATTCAATATAAAATATTCAACATAAATATAATTTGGGGTGGTTTAGAGACACTAAAGATTTAAATTTAACTTTATGTCGCTTATGATAAGAACGATATAAAGTGTCAAGCTTGATGTGCTTTTGACGGAACAATAAAACAAATAATAATTAGTATTATTTTAATACTATTAATATTATAAATGTTGGCGGCAAGTACTCGATGGTTTTGAGAAGGAGTGGCAGTAAATCACCAAAGACAGGAAGCAGTGGAGAATTTAAGGATTGACCTTTGCCCAACAATGTCATAAAATCAGCTTTCATTGCAGAATACAGAACTCCTCAAAGTGTATTCTTGGAGGAAGATTAGAGAAGCTTACGTGAAACAGGCGGTACTTGTTCGGAGAATGGACCGTGCGTTGGGAGGGCTCATAATGCTCTCCAGTTCTGGTAACTTCTATTTCATCTGTTTGCAACTGTTCTTGGGAATTACGTAAGTTATGCTGACTTCTGCTATGTGCTTTTTTAAAGAATATGAAGGTGCAATTGTTGCAGCGACGACGGTTCGAATGCCTGTAGCAAATACCTGTGATTTCAGTTTTTAAATTTGTACATTTTAATATGAAAGTTTAGTAGTAATACCCGTTTTTTTATTTACGGGGGAAATGCTTTATGCATATCCTTGAGCCCGGGGAGGGTCAAGGGTTAAGGGTTATGTGGGACTAAACTTGGTGGAGGGCCCACTAAACACGCAGGGCTTACCCTCTTGGCCAGGTATTGTGGGCGCCGTGGGATCCCACAGACTTACCACTATGACGCCTCCGGTCACTCCGGTTTTCACCAGGGTTCCCGCGCCCTAGAGCGGAGGGTCGGTTCGCTTGACCCGTTCCTCCAGACGGGCAGGAGATCTCCGTCTCCTGAACAGAACATGTGAAGTCCTCTGGGCCAGGGTCGAGGACTGTGGCCTAAACCCTCTCCTTTAAGGAAATGCTAAAATATTTTGGCTGTATATTTTACCCGTCTATACGAATAACTTTAGCTGTTCTATACTAAATGTTAATTAATACCTATTCGATCAAAATATATAGATACTCATTAATAAAGTCTTTGGTATTGCTGAGTTGAACCAACCTCTAAATATCACGTAGTAATAAAATATGAACGTATAAGGCTACTTTTTAAGAGGCATTATTGATCAATAATTTTGGCGAATAAGAGGCGGTACAACGGCTACTCTAACGTTGGCACAAAACATTCTAGTGCTATTTAGTAAAAAAAGCTATGCATTTGAACGTTTCATAAATGACAGCGACAATATCGTCAGATAAACCTTGACAATAATGGTATTCCTATTAAATATAAATCAGGCTGACTATGCTTTGATCAGAAATCTGTGAAAAGTCAGAAACGTTTGTGACGTGATATTGTTTGAAACGCGGTAAAACTTGGTACTTGAAAAAATTATTCGATAAAAATATTTTAATTTCCAATGTGTAATAATCGCTTTCCAATTTTTTCTTAGAAACCTGTGAACACATAACTGGACTATATACAAGCTTTTCATGATACGACGCTATAATTTTCCAGGCAAGGCATATCTGGCGAACTTATCAAGCGTCTGTACTATATGATCTCTCTAATATGGCTGATCATCAGATTCTCTTGCGTCGTTCTCTCGGCATCAGACGTCAATGTCCTTTCTAAGAAGGCCTTGAGATACCTCCATGGATGTAGCGATAAATGCTATAACATTGAGGTACGTGTGAGATCATTATGACATTTTCTCATGTAATTCTATGCAATGTAATCAATATCTACAATTTACTATAAGCCAAGTACATAATGACAATGATTATGTGTTATTTGTTTCAGATTGATAGATTACAGAAGCAGCTTACTAAAGATTACGTTGCATTAAGTGGGAGTGGATTCTTCTATCTTGACAGATCTATTTTGTTACAGGTGCTTATATATTATACGGATTCGTTAAAGTCTATCTATATTTTTTTTCTGTATATCATTCAGAGTTTCTTACAATTACAATCCTAAATTATCAATTTAGTTTCTTTTTCTCTTTTCTATGTTGTGCTCGATTTTTTCGTTTGTCGCGCTTTTTCTTTACGAAACCTTATAGAGCTAATATTACGTTTCAGATGGCTGCAGCTATTGTAACGTACGAACTCGTGCTTATTCAACTGGATGGCAAAGATGGCGTTGCTGCTAATGTCGCGTTAAATGTTACTAAAACCTGAATGGAAGTTTTTATTTGTTTATTCCTTAGAATCAATTAATTCACCGACATTTCTTTTAGAGTTAGTAAAAAAAATATTTTCTATAAAAATGTATTTACAAATTGTGCTGTGTCATCTATTTTCAGCACACAAATATTTGAAAGAAATGTATGAATGTAATAATTTTAAGTACGTTACTTTTTATCAGTTAAAATTAGGATTACGTAAACATTGCGACAGTATATGATACCCGTGTATTTAAATATCTTCGTGTATCCTTACTATTTTCTGTATCTAATCTTGTGCTATTAGTTGCAATAAAAATTATGAACATACACGGTCTTCATATTCAAAGCAAGTTATAGTCGTAGCTGCGATTTCAATATTTCTGTCCTGTACTTCTTTAAAATATTCTCTGCTTTGAAAAATACATGTACATGAGGCGCACCCTAAGGTTCCAAAATGAATAAGAAAAAATACTATAAATGACCAGAAATTAATTTATTGTTTCTCAAAATATTCTCCGTTAGCGTTAATGCACTTTTTCATACGAATGAACCAATTTTGAAAACATTTATGCCACTCCTCCGTGACAATCTCTGAAGCATATTTTTCATACTCTTCGATAGCCTCATCAGGTGATGAAAATCGTTGATCGCGTAACTGGTTGTTAATTTTTGGAAATAAATAAAAGTCACAGGTCGTGACTGTACGCGGGATGGCTCATAAGGTCAACGTTGTTCACTTTCAAAAAATCATTTGTCTGACTGGCCGTGTGAGAACTGGCATTATCGTGGTGCAAGATCATACGGCGGTTACCGTTATTTTTACGTAGTTTGTCAATAACTTCCGGAAAACAAATGGTTGTGTACCAATCACTCTTTACGGTACAACGATTCTCCAAAGCAACTGTAGTCACGTGTCCAGTTTTATTAAAAAAAGAAGCAATCATCCGCTTAGAGGCACTGTACACGCGCGCCACTTTGGTCGGTTTCGGCTCATCTACAAAGGGCCTTTGTAGATGAGCCGAAACCGACCAATACGAAAAAATACGCTCGATTGCTGCTTTGTTTTGGAATCGTAACTATAAAACCATGTTTCGTCACCTATAGTAACAGGTGACGAAACGTCCCACACCAAATTTGACGCCCCTTCGTTGAATCTAGTAAGCATAGCGTTGTACCAAGTGACGCGATCCGTTTTTTGAGTCTCAGTCAAATTGTGTGGGATCCACCGAGAGCACAGCTTTTTCACACCCAAATGTTTTTATAGCATTGATTGCATTTGATTCATGCCTATGCCTAAAGATGCCCAAATCTCATGGTATGTCACATGCTTGTCTGTTTTGATCATACGGCGCACAGCATCGATGTTTTTGTTGTTCACAGCCGTGGACGGGCGACAATCGCGAAATTCGTCACTGAGATTCACACAACCGAATTTGAATTCTGCAAACCAGCTATAAATAGACGTCTTAAATGGTGCTTCATCGCCAAAAGCAGTTTGAAGCCGAGCGAAACTCCGCTGAGCTGTTAACTTATACTTAAAATCGTAGAAAATCATACGAAAATTTTCAGGAGTTAAATCCATGGTGACATAGTCAACCAATTTCTGAAATGACGCCACAGTATAAAAACAAGTGACAGTCAGATGAAACAAACTGTATTCTACAGCCAAAGAGTTCCATTTTCACATGTTGTAATTACTTTTTAAATATTGTTTATGTAAGTTCAGTTCAGTTCCGAAAACTTATAGTGCGCCTATGTATATTAGAGAATGACAAAAACTGATCGACTTAATGGAAAATCCCAAAACCGCAATTAGCCACATTGGGGGATTATGACCTACACTTTTTCATAGAGAAAAATCCGAGCACTGCAATGGGATGTATATTTTTAGATAATTGTTATAATGGTACAGGTACTCGTACAATGCAAAAACTCTGCAATGTCATTGTGACGGCAAAGTCAACAATTCGTATTTATAAATAATTATTATAAAAATTACTACAATTTTAGATTGCGACAAACGGGTTCCATGATTATGTCTTGGTTCTAATCAGCCTATCCCACTGCTGGACACTCTCAATGTGCGACATTTCGGCCGGGTTGTCAGCTTGTCGTGACCATCTGCTGCCAGCAGCCTTTCGCAGATCGTCACTCCATCTGGCCAGAGGACGTCCTGTACTACGTTTGCCGAGCCGTGGTCTCTACTCAAGAACTCTCATCACCCGTCGGTTATTGGTTCTTCGATGGATATGGTCGGCCCACTGCTACTTCAGCTTGCTTATTTTCTACCATCTATGTCAACAACCTGGGTTCTCTCTCGGGTAACCTCATTTCGAATCTTATCCTTCAGAAAAACTCGGAGCATAGCTTGCTCCATATCTCGCAGAGCAACTTTTAATTGTTGGACTAGCCGTATCGTGTGAGAATGAAAACCTTTGTTTTAAAACAATGTCGTATACGTGACGTGAAGGTTCGACGTAGTTTTCCAAACGCTGCCCAGGTATGTTGAATTCTCATTTTGACTTCCTTCTCGTGGCATACATATTATTATGCGTACTTTAAAGTCTTTATTTATTGAGATATCAAAATATATAAAAACTATCAAATATAGAAATATAATATGATAACAATAGATTGATCGAAAGCATTTATGAGGTCAAATAAACAATCAACAACACAGGGGGTGTCTCTGAATCTCACATGCGAACTATGCTATTAGTATATAATTTGTACCCTTCCATTAAAACCGCTCATGTTTCATAAACTTGTAAACAAACTATTAAGCATCTAATAGTGCCACTTTGTTAGATTGTCCTCTAAATAACAGTTTTGCTAACAATTGGTAAAATAACAGCTATAATACCTTGTTTACTTTGAAAACAATTTTCGTAATTAAGTATAATCTCTGAAGTGTCGTTGGTGACTTTATGTTTGTTAAATATATAAGTATGATACTCATGTAGAAAGTGCTGAGTAGGTAAAGTTCTGAGTTGTTTTAAAAGCACTTACATTACTTAGTATTCCCTTAGTATTATTTTATGAACATAAATGTTAAATCAAGTTTCATATGACAATATATAATATACTTTGTTGTAGTTTGTTTACTAAAGCGTAAACATAAAGGTAACCGTCCAATACATGTAAGTTTAATGAATTAGGTAATCTCATTTAAACAGTGAGCATAAAATTCGTTCTTTTTAGTCATTTGAGTGACGATTTTAACCCTGGTCTCTCTCTCTGAAGGTATGAAACTGGATCCTAAATTGTGCTTTTAATATAAAATAAATTAGGTCTCAGTGTTGTGCTTTGAGTGGCGCTCATAACAACATAGATTTCTCTCAAGGTGTATAACTGGGGTCCAAAATTGTGCTTTTAATATAACACAAAAATAAATAAGACTTCTATGGAGTACTTTGAGGGGCGCCAATAACACCTAAATAGTTTCTTTCAAGGTATGCAATAGAACCCTAAATTGCTCTTTTAATGTAAAATAAAAATAAATTAGGCCTCTGCGGAATACGTTGAGGGGCGCCCATAATAACATAGGTTTTTCTCAAGATACACAACTAGGCCTAAAATAAAGCTTTAACAAAAAAAAAATATACAAATTAGGTCTCAGTAGTGTACTTTAAAGTACGCTCATAGTAACATAGGTTTCTCTCAAGGTGCACAACTGGGACCAAATTTGTATTTTCATTTTAATGTAAAAATTAGGGCTCAACTGAGTGTCTTGACATGTTTCTGTATCTAATAGTTTAGTATAAATCAACAATAATGATGGTCTTGTTTTGACTGTCTTAGAATCAATAAAAATATTTATATGATTGATTTTGAATATGATAAATTTTGTCAGTAGGCACATAACAAAATATTTGCTTTATTGATTCTAAGAATATTAACAGGTTGGATAGCGGGTGGCGATATAATAGTCGGATTTATTTTGTTATTCTACATTCTGTTCTATCAACACTGTGGCAAACAAATTATATAGAAAAGGTCTTCATGAAAATCTCATTTTGATTTTGTCACTGCTCATTGCTATTGGATCAGAGCCAGAGCGTTTTTTGTTTCCGTACAAGTGTTTTTTGTCTTAACAAATAATTGCCAGTGCTTGTCTAGAACTGTATGTGGGATGGTAAACATGAATCTCAAAGCCAAAATTGGAGCTGATCTCAGTTTTACTCGGAATGAACTACGCGAAACTGATGTAAGTGTTTTCGTTTTGTATTGGTCTGCTAAAAAGAACAGGATTGGACCATTTTCGATCAAAAGAAAAACTCAGAAATCCTTGAACAATTACCAAACAACAGATTGCCCTGTGGGCTCTGGATCAATTTGGAAAATGTTTTCATAAATTGGTCCTGTCTGAGTGTTCTGGGTAGTACCTCAGCTACGAAATTCATTGCTCTGGTGCTCAAAGTACAATGAATTCCCTAATATGAAGCCATGTAATTGGAGTGGTTGTCTGGCACATTATTACTACTTGGAGCTAGCGCAGCATTGTACTGGAATTTGCAATATTATTTTTCGTACTTATAAAGTGTGAATACACTCCATAGTAATATTGACGTCTGATATCAAAACAGAGTATTTATACTTTTTGAGAAAGCGGCCCCAACTCGGAGAATAGTAATGACCTTCAACTGCGCAGACTCAGCAATGGAAGCTTTCGGTTAATAACTTGAATGATATGTTTGATTTTTACTATTTGTGTGACTTTATTACCATTTTGGATTTAGGAATTTCTACCAATGCTCATCAAGATCTTCACCGCAGTCCGATGGATTGGTATCCCTCCATATGGTGGCCCCGTAGCCCATTATTGCGCGTACATCCTCTTTGGGTTTTTGACTGCCTTGGAGATTGGTGCCATATGGAAACTGACTCGGCTGTTGACTGGAACCGCTACCGATACCTCTGATGGTCGTAAGATTTTTATATAATTTTTTATCCATTAACCTGTTTATACGATTCGGGGGAAAAATATCTAGTCTGAAGTTTTACTTAATTTGCCAACATGAAACTAGAGCAAACTATTATTTACAAGATCGTACGCAAAAAATAAATGCTAACAATAAAGATGGAAACCGAGTTTTGTGACTTGAAGTGTTTGTGTCATTTTTTTTTGTTTTGTTAATTTTATGCAGAACAAGAGGGGAAAATAACCTGTATGAAAAAAATATTTAACACAAGCGCAATTATTTTGCATAGTTTATTAACCTTCACTGTGTCCACTGGGTAGTAAATTAATTTACTTCCCTTTTTATGACCACGGATTTCCGCATAGTAACGGTCCACCGAGAAATTCATCAATTACCACTACCAAGACTTATATAATTTAATTGACAGTTGGCAATCCATCTGGTTAGGCATTGCTATCAATTTCATTGAATAATCATATAAGTACTAACATGGCAACAATAATACTGTCAGTAAAGCGAGTGGCTGCTGTTTGGAAGAGTAGCGATTGCGTTACCAGAAGGTATTGCTACTTCTTCTGGTAAGCAAATTTCAGATGGATGTTTTAAGCACATCATACTAACCGCCACTTGTACAATTGTGTGGTATTTCAAGAGGACAAAGTCGCATTTATAACGTACTCGTACAAACCTTCTTATATCGCAAGCATTTATAAATCACACAACCTTAAAAATCCAACGCGGTTAAGCTTAGGAAAGTTAGGCAACTTCTTATCGTTCAGTGTCTGCAGACAGCACCTTCAACAAGTGTATTTTATCAGTGACGACTTAATGGTAAGACGTGTAGATAAGCTCAGCATCAAACAAAAGATTATCGTAGTGGTTCAGTTTCATTTGTTTAGTTTATTTTACTCCAGGTAATAGATCCGTACAACTCGGGTCATCAACGCATCTTAGATAATCAACTAGTTAAAATGGATGTGGACACGTGTTATTCGAAGAACTGATAACCGATAGAGAAGAAAGTTTCTCACGTGGTGACTACGAATGTGAAAACGTAGTATAGGACAATATGGTGAAGGTGGTAGAGAACTAATATAGACGATCCACGATATGGGAAGTTACGTTATTTTCAGGAGCTCCTGTGTCCAGTTATTGAAACAGTTGCGAATCGCTTTTGAGACTTCAATCAGATGATTTTATTTGCGATATATTTTTATTATAAATTATTCCTTTTGTTTGGTGTTTGTATTTTTGTTCATATAACTATCAGAAAGGTAAATTACCTTTTTCATCACTGTTAGTATTTAACCCTAGAAAGATAACCATATTACATAGTACGTTAAAGATAACCATACGTCGTCGGTTCGACGTGTCACTGTTTAAGTACACATAATTTTGATGTGTATATAGTGTGTATATTTTTTGTGTCTGTGGATGTACCAATAAAAAAGTTATTTTGCTATGTATAAAAAAATTGAGGATTAGTTGTAATTTTTATTTAAAAAATCGTTATGTATCGAAAATACATCTTTCTCACTTTGCAAAACTAAAAAATATTGAGTCTTCTCCTTGGGATTTAAAATTATAACTATACATTCTAGTCTTGTAAAATATTATCATCTCTTTCATTGTCTGACCTTCGATCTGTTCATCACTCAAATGTCGTAGCAACCGGGATATTTCGATATCTTTTACAAAAACTTGTCACATCATTTTGTTGAAATATCATAGCCTATAAATAAAATTTTATAAATAATTAAAATAATATATAAATATATTTGTTCGCACATAAATCACAAACAAGACCACCAAAGTACAAAAACTAGCGTTACTCGACGTACGGTAAGTATATTACTTAGATAAGTAAACTATGTAACTTGACCTACAATAGCGTCTGCAAGCTCTATGGGTCAATTGAGTTGGCAGGAACGGCGCGTGCACTTGTGCCTAATAATAATAGAACGAATTTTACCGATTTTTAAAATCGAATTTGTCGTTTCACGATTGGTTGTCTTTCTAGGGTTAACGGAATCGTTCCTTACATTTAGTACTTTTAGAAAATTGTAGTTAGACAAAGCTTTGATAATTTTCGGATGTCCTTTGTTTTAAGTCTGTTTTTATTCTGAAGTGTCTTATGAGAGGATGAAAATTCCCTTCACCACACCTCGTAAGCCTTTTATCTTCTATATCTTACTTGTGGACTACCATTTACTTTTAGGAGGATTGGTAGCCCGGTTATCAGGCTCTATATTCTACGGCAACGCTTTGCTATCCCACGTACTTTGCTGGAAATTATTTTCTTCCTGGAAGAATATTTCAACTCTTTGGACCAGAACTGAGACTACTGGGGGCTTGTATTTCTCTCCAGACCATAATATTAGGAAGAAGATGATTATCGTTACTAGTTTTGTTACCGTTTGTGCTACAGGTAAGTTCTTAAGTTAAAAATACTAGACTATACTAGACTAAAGATAAAGATCGCGGCAGGCAATCGGATAATGGTGGCATTAATCCATTGTTCTTACTCAACATATCTCTATTGAAGGTTTCGTTAGTAGGAGGCTACATTGGAGGTTTTGTTAGTAGGAGGGTGCATTGGACATTGCTAATTACACTGGCGATTTAAAATTTATTGATTATCAGCAATTTCGTCTGGTTTCATTTTCTTCATTACACGACCATTTTAGTGTGCATGGTCGTATCTTATACACTGGTAGGTATATCAGTTGTCCGAAATGGCATTTTCCAGAAACAACATTTGCTCGAATTTTCATAACCTCGAAAGTCATTTTGAGAGGAAAATGTATTTTGTTTAAAACCTTTTTTTTGTTAATCCAGGGGAATCTGCTTACTTAATACCCCGGCTCTGCACCCGCAGGGCCGGGGTATATATGGGACTGGGCTGAACCCTGAAGGGGAGCAGCCCGACCGCACTAAACCCCCGGAGTGTTCTTCCTCTCCGCTGTAGGTGGGGGTACGAGTACGCTATTGCACTCGTCCGCGCCCCCACCAGCGGCTGGCCGCGCCCTACGCAGCCCATCCCCGAGACGGGAGATACATCGGTTCCCCGGCTCCGAATGTGAGACTCGCCGAACACCAGACGAGCTTTCCCTCCCGGGCCCCTCTGTACTGGGCAACGAACTCCCCCGAGTCCGCTACCTAGGGGCCATGGGGGGCCAGAGCAGCATCCACTAAACCGTGAAGAACCTAATCTAACAAAACCTAATCGTGTCTTTGCGATAAACATCCAACATATCCTGAAAGAATAACGGTTTCGTTATGATTCGGTTTTCGGTGTAATGAAAATTCGAACAAACGTTATTTCGGAAAAAAAATTCGAGTTTGTGATAGGTTACCGTGCAAGTGGTATACAGTTATTTCATGCGTAGCATTCGTGTTTTCTATTCTATGTCAATGCTATTAATTTGAGTCATAACATACGATTACACTGATATAATTTCTACTGTGGTGTAGTACAAGTTAAAATTCACTACAATTTTGAAATCGCAATTAATATTTTTTATCAGTGATTTCAAAATTTTACTTGTTATTTTTATACTTTGAAGCTTGCCTATTCCTGTCGTTTATTCTTATCTTCGTATTTGGCTTTTGAATTTTCCGTGAACTATTTGTTAGGCCGATTTTGTAAATCATGGTTGCAACTTTGTCCAACGATATTAATTTTAAAATTATTGATTATAAAACAGATGTAAGAAATCTTTGTGTCTAATATGTAACGTTTTTGCATCCCTCCTTGTGAAAATACTGGCGATTTTAGTAATTCCATATATACCAATTCTACAGATTGACCAAATTATAGCAATTGATGGTTCTTCAGATCAAATGAGGAAAAAGTCTTTTTCCTTGACTGGTAATCTTTCGAAAGTTAACATTTCATGCGTACTTGGTGATTTTTATAAATTTCTTTCTACACAGGAATTCCTTTCTACTATAACTTCAATCTTCATCTCAGCTAAATATTTTGGTTTGCCTTCCTATGGCGGTGTATTAGCTCATTGCTATGGTATCACTTTATTTTTACTCTTGGCTGCTTTAGAAGCTGGTGCGGTTTGGAAAATTATATTGGTTTTAGGAGTGGCAGCTACTGATGGACGTACGTATCAAGTTTCGATATTTGATTTACATTGCAACTACCCTTCTACATCTAAACTTGAAAAAAGAAGAAAATTTGTTTAATTCTACTTACGCTTAGTTACTTTATTTATTGTTGTAGTTAAAAGAATGTGACTTCAATTTGTGCTCAAATAGCTACAATAGATCTGTTATCATTCTCGTTATAGTCTGTTTAACATTTTAAGGTTCCTGTTCATTCCAGGAGGTTTAGTTGCCCGTTTATCGGGATGTGTTTTCTATGGTAACGCCTTACTTTCTCTCATATTAACTTGGAGGTTCATTTCTTCATGGAAATGTATCTCAGTTTTATGGACATTAGCTGAAACAACTGGTGGCCTGTATTTTCCTCCAGATCTTAAGATCAAAAGAAGGGTTATAATTGTAACTTGCAATTTTATTATTTGTGCTATAGGTGAGTCTTATTAACGTTTGTTTTACAATGCGTTATACGCTCTAGTCACGAGATATTTATTTATTGGCCGGTGTTTAGTCTAGTGTGGTGTGGTAATGCTTTTCCTTTTCTGGCAATTTATTTTATTTCTAATCATATTTAATCATAAAAGCTGTAATAAATACAGTAAAGATTTACAGCTAGCAGTGTTTAATTTCAATACATTTTTGAGTAGTAAACTTGTAGAAAGTTTTCTAACATCTTATTCCTTTACTATAATAGTTGCATGATCGTATTTGCCACGAAAGCGTTTATCTACATCTACGAATTGGAAAACGAAAACAGCTCACTATTGTAATACTATTAGTTGACATTACACTATCTGTATTGGTATATAAATACATTTTGTTTCAGTGGAACACGTAATGAGTATGATATCCGCGACTGGTCTCGATATACCTCCAGAAGAATATTTTGACCGTTACATATTAAGTTCTCACGGATTTCTGTTGAAGCCAGGTAAGTTACGAGTGCTTTAACTTAAAATTGAGGAAAAAATGTAATCTAACACATCAGTAACTTTATCATTGTCGAGTAATAACGTTTAATGGGTAAACAACTGTAAAATTTAAAAACGATGAAAACATTGATATCAGTTACCCTGACATTGTAAGAATTTTATGATGCGAAACTTCTGAATCGTTGCCAAGTGTTGGACGATCCTGGCATGTCGTAGTATCATGACGTAACCTGGATCGATGCCAACTTCACCTGCAATGTAAGTGGTGGAAAATTGAGAAACTTGAACAACCTGAGGTGCACTCAAACTGTTTGATTTTTTCTTTTTTTATCGTCTACAAATTATTTGAATTAATTAGTTTACTGTCATATTCCAATCAATAGACTTATTTTGTTAAAGCGAGACATGAACAAAAATATTAAGCCTTTCAGAGAAGACTACGCCTTTACAATGACAAACCGGGCGACTTTTACTGAAATGATTGTCTTTAAAATAGGTTTTACTTTACTTAATATTATATCTATAGTTTCCAACAATCTCATACTTTCTTTTAAACGCTTTTTTTAAGAGTTTCTTCTCGCGTGCTATTTTGCTTTGATCATTTTTTACTCTTAAGTCGTATCTTGTCGTACCTACAACATCATAGTTCGTCCATGGAAGTACTGCCACCATACCTAGTTCTGGCGCTAAGCAGGAACGTGAGCACTACCGCGTTACGGTTTTGAAGGGTAAAGGTGCTGGTGAAATTACAGGCATATGAGACTTGTCAACTTATATCTCAGAGTGACGGGCGAGGTGCCCCTCAGATCTTTGTGAGTGTCAACTTATATCCCTTAAATCCTTGTCATTTAAAGCACGAGTGGCACTTCAACTGCTATGGACAGAAGTGTCGCATAACACCAGGGGCGTGACTTGTTCGTCATGTTACTTAATAAAAAAAAAATCTTCTATTTCAATTAGTCCAAAAACACCCCGAACAAGTTTAAACGCAGCACTAGTAGCAGCGGTTATAAACTGGCAGAAGACAAATTGCAGAACCCAGTAGTGGCTGCATGATTCAAATTTTATTTTTACGATTTGTTGGCTAAAGAACGTGACACGAATTGCCAATTTCTCAGTCAGCTGCAGAGTAGGTAATAAGTTAGGAAGAAAAATATTAAAAAGGATTGTGGAAAAGCTTGAAGAGAACGCAAACGAAGTCTGCGTTTTCTACGACACGGGAAGTTAACTGTAAATTGCGTTTTTTAATGACTAGGATGTTTTTAAACATGCGTTAATATTCAAAAGAGGTATTTATTTTGTTTTCCCAAAAAACAATTAAGAATTCTTCCATACGTGGTCATTATCTTTCAATTGTACTAATGAAATGTGAAGAGATAAAACACAAAAAGAAATGGCATTGAATTTTAGGAACTACCTCTATTTAAGGTAGCAATTTAATTTTGGTGTATATATTTTTCAGAAGAATACAATATATGGCTAGGCATAGTTATCTTCGTACTAAGCAAGCTAGCGACTATTTTATGGAATTTCCAAGATCTGATAATAATTCTTATAAGTATGGGATTGACTTCAAGATACCGTAGGTTAAATAAATTTGTAGATGATTTTGTGAGATTAGAAAAGCGGCATAAAGAGAAGGCAAAGGTTAGTGTAATATCTTTTGCCTGCATAAAATCGATTAGTATCATTGATATTAAGATTATTATTGTTGCTACTTTTATAATCATACATATAGTTAGCGCCACCGCCAAAGGGCACAGCTTGACTTACATTGACTGCTAATCTGTACAAAAGCCGTGTGTAGAGTGATTAGTCACGTTTGTCTCATCTGGAATAGACTATAGACCTCCATTCGATACCCATCGGCCATTATCGCTTTTACGTTTTTTTTTTATACACTCTTTATTTTTATAGCCTTCTCTTTTAATGTCTTAACCTATTTGACACATTAGTATTGACTATATCTTCTGCGCTTCCATCCATTATTGCTCTACAAACATGTGTTGCTGTTTTAATAACATCCATCGCTTCCAAATTCATTAGCGAATTAGAATAATGAGTAAAAGCAATGAAACTACTTAGAACACCCAGATTAAATTAGAAAACTTCATTTCCCAAATCGGTCCTACCAGAAATCAACCTTGCAACCCTCACTTTACAGTTTATAATTACATGACCATTCACACCACAACTCTCGCTTATACTAATACTGTTCCTCATTCGATTTCAATTACACAAGCCTTTTTTTAACTTGATTAAAAAAGAATTCTACATTGCATTTATTGGTCAACAGCTTGGTACAGAGCTCTACGCGCAAGTCCTGACATGGCGTCGTCTCAGAGAAGCTTATGTCCGGCAGGCGACTCTCGTGCGTAAGGTTGACCAGAAGCTAGGCAAACTGATCTTGTTGTGCAATTTGAATAACTTCTACTTCATCTGCTTGCAGCTTTTTCTAGGTCTTAAGTAAGTGTTTTTGTGCAATAAATTTTCAACGTTTCTAAATACTTCCGTTATAAAATGTATATCCGAGTATAACTAACGCAAGTATGGTGATGCGTATTTATTACCGCGTCCATTTTTATATATTTCCAACATAAGAAAAAACTAGAGAATTACTTACTTTTATTACAGATAAATAAAATTTAGATATAATTAATTTTAATTCGCACGTTGAAATAAATAACTGCCATTAAAAGAATATATCGATTTTTCAAATTTAAACTTACTTTCAGAAACTTTATTGGTAATTTCCCGAAAGTTCAGTATTTCATTTAGTAACGGTGTGTGTTTCAACTTCCAATAAATTATCTAATTATACGAGTTGAAATAAATTCGATTTATATTATTCAACACAAGAACGAGACTGATAATGTTAAATTAAACGTCCCATTAGAGCTTGACGACGTTCAGTAAAGAAACATCAATGCATTGGCTGTTATAATTTGTTACCCAATGGAAGGCCGTTGGGTTACAAATTATAAACTAAAGTGGGTCAAAAAAAAAAACTGGGTCAGTTCCCAAACCATTTGTCTTCCTCTAGACGCACGAACGACTCTTGACGGATTGACTCGAGGGCTTATTCCGTTATGATTTATGACTGTCATTGCAAAGTCCACAGATTATTTTAGACAGCTGAAATCTGATGAGGTTAAGCTTACAACGATCTGTTTAGGTAAAGTTTACAATGATCTGCGGTTAAGTTAGTTGTAAATGTTTGTTGCCGTTGTTGCTTCATTGTTTATTGCCCAGGTGGTGTGCCCATTTGACGAAATGGAGAGCAACGTCTCTCTGGAGATTTTAGATTTACTGTGATTGCCAAACCCCTGGGAAACAATATCTCTTGGTGGCAATTCTGGGCTTATTATAAAAAATTCAAGATTTTGGAAACGTACTCTATCAGTCATGATAATTGCTCTTATTTTCAATCCTTTCTATCATCGGGGGACCAGACCTGGGCTGGGGTTTCACCCCTATGTTGTAGATATTCCCAAGATTCGCAGGAAGCCTCCAAATTTATACGGCGAACAGCTAGGGAGTGGAATTCAATGCCTGCCAACTTGTTCCCCGAACCTTGGATCTTTTTAAGGCGAGAGTGATTAGGTGTGCATGCTATCGTCGACCTCCTCGTCACTTTCCATCAGCTGAGATGGAGGTCAAATACGCGCCTATTTTTTATTAAAAAAATTTAAGAAATTTATAAACGCCCTGCATTACTATACAAATTCGTATCCTTGTAATAACGCACAAACCCTGTATCGCGGATGCTCTATGTACTCTTGATATAACGAAGCCACGTGTGATCATACGTCGCAAGTGCTCTTATTATATTATGAAAATCATAAATATAATACGAACTACATGACACAAATTATGAACATGTGAAATATAGTAAGTCTCCTATTTAAGCATACAAAGTTATAGACTAATTTCGTTCGTTGAATCTTTTGACTTCTTTTCTGAAATGTTGTCATTTTGCAGATGTAACCTTATTACATGGAGGGTGCGAAATATTTTTCATCCTGTATAGTACTATATGAACGAAGTCACAGGCACGTTATACAAATCAGTGTCGTTTCAGCCAAAACTCAAACATGGGTGTGATCAACAAATCGTACTACTTCTACTCTCTGGGATGGCTTCTCTTCAGAGCCTGCAGTGTGGTGCTCGTCGCTGCGGATGTTAACTTACATTCCAAAAAAGCACTATCCTGCTTGTATTGCTGTCCTGGGTCAGCTTACAATGTTGAGGTATGTCGATTTGATTACGGTTCCGCAAATAATAAATAAATAAAATAACTTTTTTATAAAAAAAATCGACTTCTGAAGTTCGTGGAATTACATCTACTTACTAAGTTTTATTGAAATCGGCTACTGGAATGTGAGTGAAACCGGATTCATCCCCTAGTTTGCCATCCTTAGAAGTAAAATATTTTCATAAAATTTAAATGGGAATAATGAGTGAGGTAACCTTGTTTTCAACGTTCAAAGTTTTCAACAAAAAAGAATCATCAAAATCAGTTCATAAATGAGTTATCGCGCAACATACATACAAATAATAAAATAAAATCGGCTTTATTTCACATTTGCATGTAAAATAAATTTGAAACAATTGCAGAAAAAAAATTATATAGTCAAAACAAATAAGCAATTAAAAGCATGTCAAAAAGGTCCATGACTCAGCATCTGAGGACTATGCTAATTACTAAATAATCAAATCGAGTAATAATAACAGTAAAAAAATAAATGCCATCAGTGGACTATGAAAACAATGCACCAATTCGTGCATTAGCTGCCACGTTTCGCTAGTTAGAGTAACTGATGATTGCATTCATGGCTACGACTGTAGTCAAAAACAAATTAAACAACTAAAATTGTGAAATCAGAAACATATTCTTTGAACTAGTAGAATAAAGATGTTACATGCAATACAGTTCTTATATTACCCCAGTCTTACCCCAGTCGGGCGTGCAATGTGTTAAAATTACAGTAATTAAAATTCAATTAAAGTATACCATAATTGAAATGTTCATAAAATAATCTCAGTACAGAGTACTAAAAAACCGACCTCAAAAGTTATTCATCCCCTAGTTTGCCACCCTTAGAGGTGGAATATTTAAATGAGACCACATCTGAAATACCCTCTTTCCAACGAAAATAGAATCACCAAAATTGATTCACAAATGAGTTATCGCGTAACATACATTAAAAAAAAACCAAATAGTCGAATCCTCCTTTTTTGATGTCGGTTAAGAAATAAACAAACAAACAAACAAATGATGCACAAATGTCATTTTTTTTAATTCCTCTGTATAAATATATTAATGTATTTAAGCGTTTAATATTAATCGAAAGTCTGTTATAAATTCTGATTACCGTTGTACTACCGCCGTTAGTTAAATGCGCCCTGCATGTGACATTTAAACATAAATGTTATGTGTACTGCCGTGTTAAGTAATTATATATTTTTTTAAAGACCGACCGCAAAAGTTCGTTGAATTACATCTGTTAGTTATATTGGAATCGGCTACCGGAATGTGCACGATATATGCCACCATTAGGGGTGGAATTTTTTCTTCAAATTTAAAAGGGACCAATACTGACTCTTTCTAGCAAAAAGGAATTATCAAAATCGGTTCACAAAAGCCGGAGTAATCCCGTAGCATACATACAAAAACTAACTTAACTGCCTCCGTGGCCGAACGGTTACCATGCCGCACTATCACGCAGAAGTCCTAGGTTCGATTCCTGGGCCGGGAGAAATATTTGTATGGCCTCCATTTATTTCTCTCATGAGTTTGGGTGTAATTTGTGGTTATCTATGTGTGTCCATGGCACCCGCGACACAGGGTTTCCCTAGTGCGGGGCTATGTTGAGTGTGTGCATTATTATTATTATTAAAAAATATACAGTCGGATTGAAAATTATCTCCTTTTTTAAAGGTGGTTAAAAAAGGCCGATGTATCACTATTTTTATTTTTTCCTGGGTGGATAAAAGTATGAAGTTACCGCTAGAGAAAAATAAATATGTCTTTTCATATCTTTAACCATTCTTTTCTCGGTTTTGAGTTATTGTCAAAAGCGCCCTACCTAGTCGTTTTGCTACCAAGTAATTGTAAGTTCTTTCTGCGGAAATGGTCGTTTTGCGATCTAGTCCTTATGCTGATCAGGTAATTTTGAAAATATACTCTTTATGATACCGACCCCTTCCAACTAACGGCGGCAGTACACAAGTGTTGTGGTCAAAGATCATGCTTTTTATCATAGGGAAGACATGTGTTGTTATTATAAGTACTTAGGAATATATACAATACGATAACTTCATTAAGTGTTTTATTTTCAGATTAAGAGATTAGAAAACCAACTAACTTACGATTTTGTGGCATTAAGTGGTATGCGATTCTTCTTTCTTGATCGACAGCTATTTTTAGAGGTTTGTTGTTAGAGTGGTTACATTCGGCGAGTTAAGCAGCGATGCAAAAGCGCGTGAAACGATGCAATCGTCTATAAATTCCAAGTGTAGCGATGAAATCGCGCGTTTGTACCTATGCAGTCGAGCGCTTGGATCGCGTTTCCACCGCTGCTTTATTAAGCACGCACTTCACACACATGAAATATCGCGCGCGTGCGTGAAGGTTGACGATTAACAACTGCATCGCTACTGCATCGCGTTTGCATCGCTGCTAAAAGTCGCCATGTATAACCGCTCTTAATTGTAAAGTTTTTATAAGAAAAGGGAAAGATAATATTAAATTTAAGGTATCTAACATAGTAATAGCATCAGAAAGTACGATGTATGTAAAAAATATAAAAAAGGGAAATCTTAAAAGATGTCCAACGATTTTGCAGAATTCTTACCTTTCTACGGTAAATGGGTAACAAAATTAGTAAGAAAACTGTCTTGGGTTCGTTGGAATTGTTTCAAATATCTTTGATAATTAAACTATGATTGCGATTTAAAATGGCGTATATTTGTTTTTTTTTTTCAAACAAATCAGCGTTTTGGGCACTTTGCATATCCCATGGTCAGAACATATGTATACGCCACAGACCACATACGCCTATTTAAGTCCATAAAAATAGTTTAATTTCCAATGCAATCGCAATAATCTAAGCACTCGATAAAACATACATGAAAATTTATTGCACGTTCGAATCTTCAATACACGTTTGAATAAATAATTTATTTTTATTGCAGGTAGCAGCTGCCATAGTGAAATATGAATTGGTTATGATACAATATGATAACCAATAAAACAAACTTACGATAAAACTACCAGTGTATTTGTTTACTTATTAACGTACACAATGTGAACTGTATATTAGACATGTCGCATATTTTAATTGAAAATTACGACTTAAATTTGGACGATGATTTACAATCTTTCTTTTATTGTGATTGCTTACTTTTCAACTTAAGTCTCAGGGTGGCGCGCGCAGTGGCAATGTTCCTCAGATCTTTGCAATTTAAAGCTCTGAGTGGCACTGTAACTGTTATGGACAGGCGTGTAGCTTACCATCAGGCGCACGACTTGTTCGTCCCGTCACTTGATGATATAAAAAAAACCTAAATGGTTTGACCTACCCCTCAAGCAGAGACCTGATGACCTGATCTCTGAGGTCATCAGGTCATCTGTTTTTCCCGAAATTTATGTGTGAAATTTAATTTAAAATTTACCGTAAGCTTTTTGATGAAGGAAAATACCACGAAAACACCGTGAGTAAAACCTGCACACATCGGCAAAGCAATTTAACGTTGTGTGTGTACTTTCCAATTCACATTAGGCCTGCGTGGGATCTACACCCTAAGCACTCACATTGTGGTAGGAGATCTGTGCCCAGCAGTCGGACTAACTATTTTATATAGGTCAACTATTTTAAACAGAAAGCCATGAATGGATTCCTGAAGTACTCCGCGTTGAACAAGATGCATCTCTGGTCTTATGATATTCATTATTGGCAGTTTTCTCGTTGGGCGAAGTAAAATTTAAAAAATGATGTTTTGACAAATATTTGACTAGTTTATGCAGAAGATTGAAGTGTTGTTGACGAAGTGGGAGCCGCAGTTGGTGTCACACCGGTAAACTGCATAAGAACCAGCTCGTATGTCACTATAGTTCCTGCGATCTGTAACAAAATGCAAGAATTTCTTTGTGTTTAAAGTTAATCATTATTTTTGTTTTATGTTAAGCTCCTTATAAAAAAAGTCCGTCTAAGGAAGTATTGCTACCAAGCAACGTGAGCATTCCGATTTTAAAAGGCACATTTATGACTTGTCAATTTTTTGTCTCAGGGTGATGGGTGCAGTGGTAGTGCCCCTCAGATCTTGGCAATTTAAAGCTCTGAGTGGTTGAGTAAATGTTTAATGCCCTAATGACTGGAGATCCCGATTTTTTAATACATTGACTCCGTTAGTCCAAATACCCAGAATATAACGGTATACGACAGTTCATTAATTGGATTGGTGCTACCATGTATCAAGATTGTGAGACTGTGATTTAGATCAAATTCATGATATATAACTTACAGTTAATACCAATCCTCGCTTTACATTGAAGAACTGAAGGCCAGTCAGGGCAATTGTGTCACCGTGAATGTGATGTAAGAATCTTTGCACCTAAAAAGTACAATCAATTATTAATTTGGAGTCTTAATTTCTCCATATTTTAATCCTATATTATTATATTCAGTGATATTTGTCTTAATAAATATAATATTATTTAATCAGAACTTAAAATAAACGTACCTGAATGAGCAACTCCAGGACAAGAAAACGAGTTAATTATTTTAGGTTAAGGTGTTGGCTTAAGAGCAAAATAACCTACCAACAAAACATTTTGTTTCACGCCTGTTCACGCCACGGGCGGTCACCGATATATGTAAAAAGACAATATGCGTTTGTAATGCTATCATAATTATATGAGTGGACAGTACAGTTACCTCAATACAATAACAATCTGAAGGAACGTCATACAAGACCGGCGCTACCGCTCGACTCGCTGTATGGATACGCGAGGCTATCAGAGATACCGCCAACGATCTTACTAGTAGAAACGAAAAGGAGTATATGAAATATACTGCTTGCTCGTAGCCGTGCATTGGCCTATAAAATAAAACCAATAAGTTACATTGAGAGCTTTCAGAAGTGTAGCTTTGGGAAGCTTAGCCACATCTTCAGATCGTCAATCCCACAAAGCCTAAAACCTAAGGCATTTAATCAGTGCGTTCTACCAGATATGTCTTACGCAGCCGAGACGTGGACGTTAACGACAGGCCTCGTCCATAAGTGGAACGAGCTATGCTTAGGGTTGATCTGATGGACCGAATCCCTAACGAGGTTATACGTCAGAGAACTAATGTGACGGACATAGCTCTCAAAATCAGTAAGCTTAAGTGGCAGTGGAATGTCTGCTGGAGGGTTGATCGCCGATGGGGCAGACTTGTTCTGGAGTGGCGACCACGTCAATGAAAACGTTGTGCGGGACGCCTTGCGGCAAGATGGATGGACGACCTGAATAAAGTGGCCGGCTGTGGCTGGATGCAGGCGGTACAAGACCGAGAGAGTTGGCGTGCTCTAGGGGAGACTTATGTCCAGCAGTGGATGTGTGTAAGTTGATGATGAGAAGTATAGCTAGACTGTCTAAGATGGGCAAATTACGGAATAATGTGACAAGACGTGGAACAAGATGTAGTGGCAAAGATAGAGAAAGGGATGCATAAATGGTTCGAACATGTAGAGATAGCGAATGAATGAAGATAGATAAAACTGAGAGTGAGTGGGCAAGATGGTAAGGGCCGACTAAGGCGGACGTAGCTTGACCAAATTGAAGACGTCCCAAAAAAAGCCCAGATTACGAGTACCCAGAGACGAACATGTATGAAAGCACTGATGCGTGTGGATTAGGCGAAAGTTGTGTGTGTCAGGAGTGTAACGAGTAGAAGGCTTTCTACCACCGCCGGTTGGAAAAGGACGTGAAGTATATGTATGTACGTAGTTATCACAAGACCAAGCACTGAAAGCTACTGAAGCAGACATGTTCATGACGGAAAAACGCAGTATATTTTGTTGCAAATCGAATGATTCTGAAATATAATTCCTTGAAAGTGTCAACCACTATATTTCCATTTACTGTAGTAAATATTGACGATGCTATAGTCTCCTATTTATTTTAATTAACATTGTCACAAAGGTCTACCACAGTATGACACTGTTAATAATTTTCAAAGAAAATAGGTCATTAAGCCTCGTGGTTAGAATAAAACAACGCGATGATATTTTGTACCTCGAAATAATTTACCACTGAACGTCCAATGTAGACGTATTTTAAATATGTGCTTTATTTTATGCCATGCTAAACTTGTTATTCATTTATAATTATTATCAATTTTCAAATGAACGTCTAATGGAATAAATGAATCAATAAAATAACAAGCATTTGCTAGACCAACGCCCATCGTCGTTGTCCTCATTGTCGCTTAACATTGGGTGAGATTATAGTCTACTTTACATCTCCCCTCGCCTGAAACGAGACCCGTGCCCAGCAATGGGATGTATAAAATGGGTTGATGACGTTTTAAAGTTAATTCATAATTTGATTATTGTAACATATCTTGATATTTGTAAATGAAACTATCTACTTGTCTACACTTCCATTTGCAACAATTCCCAAATTTGGTATAGTTAGGAAATGAAACTGTTTTTCTGGATTTAAATCGCGTATATTTGTTTTTTCAAACAAACCGGTTTTAAATTTTTAGATTTAAATTTAAATTTGATTTAAATTCGGAATAACAGTCATTTCCTATGTGTAACAATCGCGAAAACCTAAGAACTCGATTTGATATAGTAGTTTGGTAATGTTGAAGTTAGAAATTATAAACAAGTTGAAGTAGGAGGATATCAAATTACCAAACAGCATAAGATTTCTTGTAACAACGTGTTCTTAGTTAATGGAAATTTGAGTGTTTTACTACTTATATATTGCGGAGAAGAATGGTTTTTATTCTCCAATATGATATTAAGGATACTGGTAATTTTTAACCGACTTCAAAAAAAGGAGGAGGTTATGCGTTCGGCTGCATGTATGTTTTATGCATGTTTTCAGTAATTTCATCTTCGTCAATTGTGGATCGATTGTGAAAATTCTTTTTTTGTTTGAAAGGATGCACACTCGTGGTGGTCACGTCTCATGGAAGCAAACTCTTGAGGTCGGTTGTTTTTTTCAATGAAAAAGTCACAATTATTACTTAATGAGATGGTAGAATCTACAAACTACTAAATTACCAGTTTGTTTTACCTTTCGTCCAGTTTGCTATAACAGCCTGGGGTTTGTTTCACTCCTTCCCTATGAAAATGACATACATATCAAGTTAAAATTTGAAAAAACCACCCGTGACAAAACAATGCCCTCAAAATGTTCAATAAAGTCACCATCCGTCGAACAACTCGTCGAGATCAATTTTTTGAGTCTAAATACGATAATTCTACTACCAGCAATGAAGGAGTTGGATAGTCTGCAGACTGGTCTGGTCGCAGCATCAGATCAAGATTACCACATTATTGTAATGTCATCGAATTTCCATAGTATTACACCAAATTCAAGTTGATCAGTCTACAGGGAGAAAAGAAAGTCATTTTATGGCTGAGATACCAATTGAGGAAAGAATTTAGATCTTTAAGAGTCGACTCTACCTCAGCTCAAATTAAATTTTTTCCCGTACCAATACGGTTCATTTTGCCTGGGTCGAGCGGCAGGGACACAGGCTTTATTTCAAAATTTTTTTTTACCAAACGAAATTTAAGTTATTTGGAAAATGTATATAGTATAGTATACATTGCAGCATAATACGCTGCATGAACATCTTTTTTCTTAATGTTCTTAGTCTTTTTGGTTTGGAACCTTTTTGTGGTTTAGTTGGGCGTTTCTTGAAATTTTAAAAGGTTGGGTTCTTTTTTAAAGTCTGTTTGGTTAGGTTTTTTTTTGTTTTTTTGGTTGACAAGAAACTGACGTGCGGTTTTTTCTTTAATAAGAAAACGAACGAATCAACTGAATTATTGTAATTGCACATAGACCTTCGATATACTTTTGCCTGGGTGCATGATGTGAGTTGTGGGAACCACGGACACATATCTGCCACATACTGAATGCGACGACTACCCTAACACCCGAGGAAATTCTCGATGCATTTTGAAGTACCAATTGCTCAGGACCTACATCGTTAGTACATAGTCCTCCATTCGCCTTCGTTAGGTTTTCCCCTCTTTATATAATTCGTATCTTGTACTAATTCCGACAGTAGTATATTTTTGTTAGTCAACTTGAATGAGCTTTTGCTCAGTAATCGGATGAATCTAATCGAAGACGATGTAAATGGAACAGTTTGACTATTTATTCCTTAAGCGTGACCAATATTCAGTCGATAGTTGGTAGAATATTTATCGACGTGATTGCAATCACTAGTTGCTCGCAAGTGGGCAACACTTTTGCACAATGAGCTGTCAATTTACTCCGTCTTCAAAAAATACAGATTATAAGTAAGTAAATTTTTTTTAGCAAGTAGGATAAAACAAGTTAGACAAATAAATGATCTCACTCGAGCGTATGTAGAAGTTGAAGACAAATGAAGAATAAGTTGTTAACAAAGGATAAGAAGACTATTCCGCTGACGGCGTCATCAATTTTCTTCACAAGATGACTTACTCTGCTATAGTCCTCGCGCATTGTTCGCCAGAACGATGACGGTGTTTGCTGAAATAGGAAGATATTATTACTTTACGATTTTCTTTGGATTAATAGTTTACCAATATACTTAAATCTGATGGTCCATTTCCTGTTACCTGACAAAATTCGAAATCTTGCAAGTACTAAAGGTGAATATTTTGAAAAATCGTTGTTACACTTTAAAAAATCAATTGTGAACGATAATGGCCAGTATCCTCAGAGCATATATCAAAAATTTGATTGGTTAAATGTTCCAAGCCAGTATTATTCGAATGCGTGTCACACGCAGCTCGAATAGCGTCAAAATTGTCATAAATACAACCCATGTAATGAGTTCCAAAATAATGTAAATCTTGTAACCTTTCCCCTGACAGCATTTATCCTGTAATTAATCTGCTGCAGCCGTGATGTCAGATACAAGCTGACGCAGATAACGAACACGTCCGCGAAGTTCCAATTGAATGTACACGTGATGTTGATGAACTGGAAGAGATATTGAAAACATATTATAAATCTTTGTTTCAATGTTGTGTTTGCTATCCAAAGTAGCTTTTTTTTGTAAATATTTTAGGGAAAAAGGTATACGGGCAAAATCAATCAGAAAATCCTTTTCGAAAGCGAAAAATTTTAGGCTTAAAGAGATACTAGGCTACATATTCAATATTATTATACACTATGTTTACATATATGTTTCACAGGGTAAGCCTCATAATTGTTAAACTTACGATAACTAGGAATCCCATCACAGGACTGTAGGGTACAAAAGTCCATACCCAAGGGAAACTTTGGTATATGAAAGCGTCATAAACGTTTGTCTCAGGCTGACAGTCTATTGCAATAGCAATCGAGGATACATCAGACAGAAAGTGCTCCACTGAAAATGTTGACATAAAATTAAACTAGTAGTTGAGTAAATTTAACAGGTAATCATATGTTTATACAACCCACAAGCTAAACTCAAAATACCATTATACGTAGATTGTAACATAAATGTTTAATAGTCTTGTCGCAGACCGTGTCTGTCATTACATGTTAGTCTGAAGTTTAAACCGATGCATTTTCAAGTTAAAGTTGTGTGTTGTTGTCATTTTTATGTAAAATATGTTTATTTTAAAAAAATCTTACGATAATTAAAGATGAAAATTCATATTCACACGTTATTAGTGCTTCCTTAGATCTTTGACGCGACACCGTAGAAAAGCAATTTTGTATTAAAATTTAGAATATAATTCAAACTGTCGGATCATATTTTCAAACCAAATGGTTTCTTAATTACTCACGCTGCGATTTGATTTTGCTCTTTATCTCTACGCAAAAGTCATTTAGGAAACAATTATTATGTAAAAGCATACTCCGTTCAAATAAAAGCATTTACTGTTGAATAAAAAAAAAATAAAACCACATACTTTTATCAAAAATTGTTTCAAAAAATCTACCGCACAAAGCTAAAGTCAACCAATCGTGTACAGACCCAATATTGTCGCACGGAAAGTTGGTTGTTTTCACATTTAGGGTATTCTGTATACGAGAACAGCAGAGCTGTATAATAAGTCAAATATCAGTATTTTTTTATTTGGAATATTTGTCATGCGTAGCGATATGTACTTACAAAAGGCCATAGAAAGAATAAGAATGCAGGAGATATTGCAATTTCTGACAAGCGTCTTGTCCAAATTGGGATCGGCCGCTTCTGTCTTGGCCACGAACTGTGAAAGTTTCGGCCAAATCCTCGCAAGTCGAAGGAATAGAATTCCTGTTAGGCAATTTGAACTGAAAAATACTACTGAAGCTGCAATAAAATAATATTAAATGTGAGTATGTCAGAACTGAATCTTAAGACATCGGTTGGGCAGATTTAGGAATCGTGCAATAAAATTACGTTTAATGGCAACACTGTATATTTTAATCACTTTGAAATCGAATAACAACTTATCCTTTCTATTAATTATAACGATCAAATTAGACACTAGGCGAAACGCAGGACAGTTTCTAGGTGGCGTATGTGTAGCCCGAGAGTTTAACCATCACTGTGTCCTCTCTCGTCTACCACCACTGTTCCCCACTCAGACTCCGTTGACGTCCACCGGCTTAGGAAGCGCGCGATACACTCTGTAACCTGCAGGTGGCACCTCAGTCTCGCAGTTTTCTGTCCATACTCATGACCATTTCCGACAAGTATATTTTAATTTAGCTTTTAATTCCTTCCTCTTCTTATTATAATACCTCGACATAGGAACATGAGAGGAGAAAACGTGAGAGGCGTGCGAAACGTGGAAAGATGAGTTAGAAAAAAACTATTTATTACATTATGACAGTGGCAGCGATGATTAGAAAGGGAAGATTTTGCCAAGTAGTAGGAAAAAAACACGTTTGTAAAAATACCCTTATAAGAAAGACTAACAATTTCCCTTTCAAGTCTTCTTAACTTGAATAAAAGTGGGAACATGGTAGACTACCTTGGGCGACACGCCAAGTTTTTAAAAGAGAAGGAAACAACCAAGTCAAGCGAGGTAAAGGATTTCCTAGAATACGTTACATTGACTAGATTAATGCGACGTAAATATGAGGTCACGTATGGGAGGAGCTAGGCTCACATGAGCTTAGCTCTTAAATGAATAAAGTTTTTGAGTGCTCTGAACACCAATGCAGTATGCAGTTTTTTTTATAATAATAATAATGTGCCAGACCACATCAGTTACCTGGTTTCACAATAGGCAATTCTTTGTACTACGAGTACTAGAGTAACTCCGAAGACACTATCCAAAGCTGCCAGAAACAATTTAGAAAAAATGTATTTCTAATCTAGTCTTGCAGGAAATCGTAACAAGGAATCTAATTATCAAGCGCCCTTAGTACGGGCGGGCCACTGAGGTTGGTAGTTTCAATTACAATTTTGCCTGATGGTATTTCTCAATGTGGATAGATATTTCCAGAATTGAAAATTATGTTGTGCCTAGTTTCTGCTCATTTGTGGTTTGAAGTTACGTTTGGTGGCGAACAAATCAAAAGCCAGCGAATATCATATCATAATTTTTGAATGTAATTTAACTACGACGTTGCTTGTTCTATGACCAGTCTAGTTATATCAAGTCGCCGTCATCATATTTCACAAAATTGGTCGTAGATACTTCAGCAATTGACTCGGAAACTACTTTACTTATCCTCACATTGAATTCAGCATGTTTATAAATCGACTCACCCGAAGAACAAAGTCCGATGTGATTATACAGCGAAAATAGGATGAATACATAATTTCGTTATTCAAACTAAGGCCTGTGTAAAGGTGTTTTAAATTTTTTTATATCTTATTTCGTTTCGGAAATATTAAATCGAACAACAGTCGGCCTGATATCCACAGCGAAGAAGAACGAACGAAATGTACTGTGGGCCTGAGAACAAGTAGTCTTGCACATTGATCTTTGTTCTACGGATGAGTCGAAATGTACTGAAAGTAAGTTCAAGATTCTGTATATTTCTTTTCTATAAAATGTTCCTGTGTTTACCGTTTCAGAATAACTACAGTTGCCAAACAAAGTTTGTTGATAAATAAATCCGCTTTTTGTGCTAAGTACTGTTAGTGTTTTTTATTTATATTTTCGTAAAGTGCCTTTTTATTCCTTGTGAGGAACTCATTGCAATAAATTAGCTTTCTAGTCCCATTTATTTGCGCTAGGCGTTGTTACGTCTGTTAGCCAGGACTTCTCTTTGTAGTATACGTTAATTGGCTCAAATATGGACCTTCCATCTACGACCAAATATAAAAAAATGGACAAAATAAAAATAATTGTTATTATATACGAAATTTTTAGAAATAAATTGAATTTATTCTTATTTAGTACTTCTTATCAATTTCGATAACAGTGACTATTTGAGGCTAGGGTCATCTGTGCGTAAGCTCGATTATAGAGAACAAGAAGTTGCGCGGGTACAAATCACTTTCGTGTCTTTTCTCTTGTGGTCGATGGCCATGCGTTGGAATGCATCGAAAGGCCGTAAAGAGCTACATGAATCCTGTCAATATGGTTCGCATTTCCCTGCTGCATCAAGTAATCATGATAGCTGAAAGACAGTGAGCGCCTGTCACGAACAAACAGACTTAGTGTGCATTGGAGATCTCCCCTTAGCCGCCTCGTACGACACCCGTGGGAAGAGTAGGAATGGCTCGATTCTAAAACCACGTGGCATTCTTATTACAATTACATTACAATTAGTCTGATGTATCCCACTATTGAGCAAAGGCATCCCCCTGTTTCCTCCATCTGATCCCGTATTCGTATCCCGTATCCCGATCTTAGCTAACTGAACCCAAGCTTTATCGTAGGCATCCATTTTGTCATGCCAAAAATTAGTCGTACTAAGCAATAAGGGTAAACATTCACGACTAACGGTTAACACTATGCGTGTTTGGATCAATTTAGGAAAGGAGTTTTGTATAATGACTCTGTCCGATATCCGTCCGACACAATTACTGTCAAATAATTAATACTCGAATTTGACTAAATTAATATACAATGTCAACTATGAAGCTTCATTCGCATCACAGACCTCCTAGTTAGACGGTACAGAGTAATCCCTAGCATCAGTAATATCAGCAAGTTCCCTAATATCAGTAAGTTGTGACTGTCTGCTACATTATGTTTATAATTATATTATACGTTCAACATGGACACTACATCGATGTGTTTTTACTATTAGTTATTTCTATAGCCAAGAAGTAAAGTGAGCAATGCAGCGCTCCGGCATAGTGTAATAAAGAAAGTATGGTAACTCCTTAGAAATGTAACAGCGCAGCTTATATGTGTGCGCGCCCGCCGCGCACCGTGTACAGAAGCACACATTCGCATAATAATGAAAGGCGCATGGGATAACCGGGATATGTGACGCGAGTGCATCGCGAAATTATACGAATATGTGCGTCCGCACGCGTCGGGCTCGCACACAAACAAACCGCGTGGCTACGTTTGTATGGAGTTATCATACTTGTTTTATTATACTATGGTTCCGGTTTTGAAATGTAGGGGTGCTGGTGCAACTGCACGCATATGGGATTCATCAACTTTACGTCTTAGGGTGGCAAGTGCAGTGGTAGTGTTCCCTCAGATCTTTGCGATTTATAGTTGTAAGTGGTGCTGCAAATGTTATATGTTGGCGAACCGATTGCCACCAGTCACAAGTTTTCAAAGCAGTAGAGCTCTTTGTGAAAGAGTTCGTCCAGGATAGTACCACCTTACCTATTTATGCCGCCAAGCAATAATGTGAGCATTACTGCGTTCCGGTTTTGAAGGGTAAGGGTGCTGCTGAAATTCCAGCCATATGGGATTTGTCAACTTCTGTCTCAGGATGACAGGCGCAGTGGGAGTGCCACTTAGAATTTGCGATTTAAAGCTCTGAGCGACACTGCATCTGTTATGGACAGGCGTGTCTCTTTCCACATGGCGCACGACTTGTTCGTGACGTCACTTGATATTATAAAAAAAATTCGTCCCGTCATTTGATATCATTCATAAGGTAACTATATTTACAATTATAAGCGTCAAACTTACTATTAGAGGCCAACAAAGAGTCAGTTTCCTTAAATAACTTGAGCACGCAGAGGATAAACATTAAACCTTGTCCTATAATGTTTATTATTGCATACACACACCTCCCCGAACAAAATGTGAATCTGTAATTGGAAAATAATAACATAAAAACAGTGGGAGATCGGTTATTAATACAAAGATCGAACACAAAGAAAATTCCTTCGATCTGACAGGACACGAAGCTACGCCTGTGCCATACAAGGGTATATGAATTTATAGTTACGATCCCAAAACAAAGCAGCAATCGAGCGTATGGGTCCTTGGAGATGAGCCGAAACCAACCAAAGTGACGCGCGTGCAAAGTGCCTCTAAGCGGATGATTGCTTCTTTTTAAAAAAAATCTGGACACGTGGCTACTGTTGCTTTGGAGAATCGTTGTACCGTGAATAGTGATTGGTGCACGACCGTTTGTTTATCGGAAGTTATTGACAAACTCCGTAAAAATAACCGTAAACGCCGTGTCATCTTGAACCACGATAATGCCTATACGAGTATACCTGTACATTATCGCTCTACCAACTGAGCTATTGATCGAGTCAGCAGACCTTTCGAATTTCTCTAATCAATTATTACAGACATATGATTTTGGTTTTAAAGGCTGTTTTTGCTGTAGCGCCATCTTTGAGAAACCTTGAAAGTTTTTCTTCACTCAACTAGGTGCCTTTACAGCTACCATTTCGATTACCATATCCTGTCCGATCGAAGGAATTTGTCTTTGTGTTTAATCTTCCTATTAGTAATCATAACAAATAGGCTGCTAACAGTCCTTAAAGTTCATAACGACTTCACGCATTAACTGCATGCAGTCGAAATTCAACTGCATGAAGTAAACTTGAGACTTCAAGTTCAAGCTGAAGCTTTTTTTGTAATGATTATTTGAAGGTTTAATCAATATAATGGTAAAACAAAACACAATTGGTGAAACTTGTCTATTTTTCACAGATGGCCTTTCTGAAACAGATTCAAGTAACTTAATAATAAATAGAAATAAATGAAATCAGCGAATGTAGAAAAAAATTGTAAGTTGACTTTTATTTATTTCGGTCCGTGCGTCACATGTTGATGTCAATTTTTACATTAAGCTCTTGAGCTAGATGCGAGCGATAATTGCCTGCAGTTAATGTCGCCTGCATGCCGTCAATCTCGATTGTATGCAGTCGGTTTCGTCTGTATCGAGTTGTATTATATGAATATATACGCGATCTAGATTCGAAAAAAAGTTTTTCATTACGTATGAACTCGATATCGGTAAAATAATTTCGACTATCGTAATAACATTTAATCGCCGAGTAAATATAATATACTCAAAATATTCTCATATGATCATAGACCCAGTAATAACAGCTGAATGTGACGTGTCAACGTATGACATTGGTTATTATACAAATACTAGACGTTATTGGAGGATGTTTATTGAACTACGAATCTTTACTTAGTTACGATACGTTACTTGTAATACAATTACAAATATTTGAGTGTATGAAGGGTTTTATTAGGGTTGAACTTCATTGCACAAGACAGCACGCTTGTTACTGCAGCGTTCTGACGTGAATTGTATTATTCACTCTTAGCGTGTTTTCGCAATGCATCCGATTCGCATTCGTTCATAATCCGAAACTACACAAATCTAAAAAACGCGGACCTACTTTGGATGTCGCTTGTGAGAAAATACCAATATGGCTTGTACACCTAAAGACAAAATGACATTTCGGACACCTGTGACCTGTGTGGTGCGTTTAGCGTACAAGGTTTGCAATGTACGCACATTGCGCGCAAACGAGTGTCTCGCGTTGGATACATCTGACATACAAGACACAATGTACGCACAAACCTTGAACCTGCTGAACGCACCACGCCATGTTGCGAATTCATGACCTTAGTGTGAGGCCAGACGAGCACAATTTTGTGAGTTGTGAGTTGCGTTTTTTGAGTCGCGTAGTGCCAATGCCAGGAGGCGCTAGTCAATCGTTTTTATTCAGTTGCGTTTAAGCGTTTCTGTCACATAGTGTAATGAATCCATTAAAAATATTGTGCATCTATAAGGCATTACATAATGTTAGAATAAAAAAAGAAGCTGGGTATATCCAATCATTGATAAACGTGTGGGCAGTTTCATTTTCGATGTGAAAGTTTATGTGAACACCCAGATCAACGAGTAAAGTACTACCAATAAATGTTTCACTCTCCTTCATTTTCTCATCCCTCTCTCCACCTACACAAGCACGTCATGAGGTTCGATCGTAATTTGCGTCATTTTGCGTCATGGTGTGGTATAAACCAAACTTTGTATGAAACCTTAGCAGCGTAAATTAAGCGACTCGAAAAATGCGACCCACAACTCAAAAAATTACGCTCGTCTGGCTTCACCCTTAGTGTAGTAGAAACAATTGAGAGCTGATTTTTGGAAAAAATTAAAACAAACCTTAGCTTAGTAGTGTCGACATGAGAAGCACCCAGAACGGGGAGTATTCCAAAGCACTGCCCAACTAAAATTGTAAGTTTCATTGCGCGCTGGAAGGTAACACGTCGGCCTTTGTATTGTGAAGCTGGCGCTATGTACTCTGGCAGCGGTGCTATTGGTGATGCTGAAAATTAATACTTTTTCAAATGGTACACAAACCATTAAGTCTTCTTGACAGATAATGGTAATGTAAAGATGTTAGTGATAATGTTTTCCAGAAAGGTCCTTAATAGTACCGCTAGTGCGTTGCCTGCCGAGAGGCATAAATACGTCGCCCGTAAACGTTCATTAGCTTTGCCGAAACATGTTGGTTATTGATCTTAGGTCATATTTGCCTGTGCTTGACTTGGCTCTCCATACCCTTCAATTCAGTGAGGTAGTTTTGATACAGAAAGCAGTAGAACCCTCAAGTCAAAAGAAAAAAAAAAAGAAATCGAACATTCCATTTCAATTTTTTTTTTCGAAAGCAAAATATTTGTTGCCGCATGTTATTATGATCATTAACACAATAATTTATACTTCTTTTATTTGAATATGGAAAAATCACTGATAAGGCATGAAGGTCGCGCGCAATTTCGGGAAATGCAATAAACAAGTCAAGGTGACCTTGTTTAGGGCTATTTGCCAATGCATATTATTTATGTACACCTATCAGCTATGGATCAGCTTCACTAGGAAATCTTACAACACTCTGAGGATTCAATACAATGACTTGTTCCGTATCCTGGTGACATTGACTAGATTTTGCAGAGCGTCGAGCATGTTTGCTGAAACTCGTATTCCACCTCATTTTGGAAAAGAGTGCTTGTCTCTAACAATGCAATCCTAAGACGAGTTTGTGACACATTCTCCGACAGCTCCATTTTTAAATACTGGCTATCTGTCTTATTTTAGTTCATATCTGTTGTATCCTATAATTTATTATATATTATCTAAAATAAGTATTTATGTTTCACACGCAAAATAGGCTCCTTGCCGTCGAGTTGCAGACACCAGCCCGTTACACCAACTACCAACAGTGTTGGGCAAAATTCAATTGTTCTGGCAATTAAAGATTGACAATTAATTAATTGTCAATAGCGAAACAGCAATTATCACAATCGCATATATCTATATATACGGTTGGGGGGCCGGTTGGGGCGCCGATTGGGGGCCGGTTGGGGGGCCGGAATTGATTTTAATTGCAATTAAATTTGCAATTCGCGACGCGTCGCAGTTGATTTAATTGCAATTGATTTCAATTGAATTGATTTTTTAATCTGATTGAATTTCTGTTTGAAATTTAATTGATTAACGCCCAACACTGAGTACCAAGCACCAAGTAAGTATTTATGTTAATAAAAAATTTTATTATTATAATTATCAGGTGGGTTCAGTACTGGCCAAATACTCTAATATTCACAATGAACAATCTGTTAATTTGTAATATAATCTTCCATTTTAGCATTGTATCTCATTGCAAAAATGAAACACGTGGTCACACTCTTTTGGATACTTAAATTAACCGCTCACGCGATACATGCAGCCGTGGACGCATACCACACCTTGAGGTGCCGGTGATGATTTTATACCGATTTATTGGATATCGTAGTTATAACAGGTAAAATAACTAATACTAATTGCTATTTCGGTAACTACTCTAGCAAACCATAAAGTTTTTAACGCCTGGGTCTGTCATTTAAAAAAATAAACAACTTCAAAAGTACGTCACGACAATCGTGTGAGTGTTATTGTTTGGGTTGGTCATTTCGGTGTTTATTTATTGAAAACATACTGCAAGTAGCGTTTTTTAAGTTTACCCTGAATATAAATGTTTATAAACTATACTTTAAGGAGTAATTTCATGGTAAACGTTAGAACCACTCTAACGGAATATTATCATATTTATCCAAGTACACCAAAAATTTCATTAGTGCTTTTTAATCACAGGATTTGCAGTGTATTACTGCATTTTATTTGAGATGTTTTTGTTGGTAGTACGGAGGGTATTTATTTAGCAATGCAGAATAATAATTTTTATATATAAAAACTTGTATTTAAACTGAATGCTTTTCTAATTTGCGAAACCAGATAGCCGCCATTTTGCGGTAGGTTTATCCTATCCTTTAAGGGCCGTGTAGGTGGGGGTAGCGCATCGCGTGAGCGGGTAAAATTTTATTTATCTTGGATTTGAAAGGCTTATCAAATGGTCGTGGAGAAGCACGAGTGTCGTTTGCTTAAAAAAGACTTATTTAAAAGAATTCTTACCACTAAATAGCAGAACCTCGTTTTTGTTTCCCTTAAGCCTGTTGTTGTACAAAAAATTCATAATTTCTTTGACAATCGTGTCCTGCTACATGAAATTATACTATTTGTAATTTTTCTATTTTACTTTAGAAGAATACCAGCTTCATTAGGAATCTGCAAAAAATGATGAAAAATAATGTGGTACAGTAAGCATCAGAACGACATGTATAGTCAAATTAATGATACTAATGATAAAAAATATCGAAGTCAATTTTATCTATATAGAATTATCACGTGATTTTCGAATCTCAACGTTATGCCAACGGTATCAGCTCAATCAATAGATTACGTGTGGCGAACTATAAGTTTCTGGCATTATCGTGGTGCAAGATGATACGGCGTTTACGGTTATTTTTACGGAGTTTGTCAATAACTTCCGGCAAACAAATGGTCGTGTACCAATCACTATTCACGGTACGACGATTCTCCAAAACAACAGTAGTCACTTGTCCAGTTTTATTAAAAAAGAAGCAATCATCCGCTTAGAGGCACTAAGCACGCGCGCCACTTTGGTCGGCTCATCTAAAAATACCCATACGCTCGATTGTTGCTTTGTTTTGGAATTGTAACTATAAATCCATGTTTCGTCACCTGTTACTATGTCCCACACCAAATTTGACGCCTCTTCGTTGAATCTGGTAAGCATGGCATTACACCAAGTGACGTTTTTTGAGCATCAGTCAAATTGTGTGGGATCCACCGAGAGCACAGCTTTTTCACACCTAAATGTTTGTGTAGTATTGATTGTATTAGACTCATACCTATGCCTAAAGATGTCCGAATCTCATGGTATGTCACATGCCTGTCTGTTTTGATCATACGGCGCACAGCATCGATGTTTTTGTTGTTCACAGCCGTGGACGAGCGACTATCACGAAATTCGTCACTGAGATTTACACGACGGCGTTTGAATTCTGCAAACCAGTTATAAATATCCGCCTTACATGGTGCTTCATCGCCAAAAGCACTTTGAAGTCGAGCGGAGCTCCGTTGAGCTGTTAAATTACACTTAAAGTCGTAGAAAATCATAGTACGAAAATTTTCACGAGTTAAATCCATGGTGATGTAGACAACCAATTTCTAAAATTACGCCACAATGTAAAAACAAGTGACAGTCAGATAAAACAACTCTATACTACAGCCATAAAGTTCCATTTTCAAATGTTGTAATTACTTTTTCAATATTGTTTATGTAAGTGGCCAGTTCCAGAAACTTATAGTGCGCCCTATGTAACAGGCTCGAGTCAAAGATACCTTAAGTTTTCCGCCTGGATATTTATTGAAGAGTTGTTTTTTGTTCGATATTGAATAAATGAAAATAAAAAATGGAATGATCTTTTTTCAAACCTGTAATGAATACTTATAGAGAAAATTAAACCATAGGAATTTAGTAATCCATAATATCAATACATATTAAAAATCATTCAAGTAAGTTTGTATTATAATATATAACTGTGGTTTCACAGTCCTCCTCTATCCATGGACTATGAAAAAATTGCAGTGGATGAAAACAAGTTTCAAATAACACGGAAGTATTTTCAAAAACTAATAAATAATAAATAAGGTGAATGCCAATTTGTGTTTGTGAATTGGTAAACGTTTATTTTTTTCATCAATGCACTGATTGAAGATGCTAATGGATTTTAAATGTTCGTTTTAAATGAGATATGTTTTTTTTTACATGATTGTTTACAGACATATAGTGATAATTACTTTATTTGTACAAAGTTTTAATTTAGTCTGACATCCTTTTATATTTTAAATTATAACTTTTATATGTTAAACAAACTACGCATTAAAATATAATAGAAGCTTAAAGAACTAAAGCTAGAACTAAATAATATTAACGAAATTGGAATCGTCCCTGTGGCAGGGTACCCAAGCTCCGGGGTGACCCGGAGTATGGCCTTATACGGGGCTCCCATTTGGAGTGGGGCCTTATCAGCGGCGACGAAGTCGCTGCTGAGGAGGCCCCAGAGGGTGGTCGCCCTGAGAATGTGCAGGGCGTACAGGACGGTGGCCTGCGCTGCCGCATGCGTCCTCGCCGGTACTCCGCCGTGGGACCTCGAAGCCGAGGTCCTGGCGGAGGTCCGCACCTACCGGCGGGGAATGAGGGACCGAGGCGAGCGACCCGCTCCCCAAGAGGTGGAGCGGGAGTGCCGCCTCGCGGCGCAGCGCATGCAGGACCGGTGGAAAGAGGGCTTGGCGGATCCCCCCTATGGCGCTCGTACCATAGAGGCGATCCGCCCTGTCCTCGTAGAGTGGGTAAACCGGTCCCACGGGCCACTGTCGTACCACCTTGTGCAGGTGCTGACCGGGCACGGCTGCTTCGGTCACTACCTGCACAAGGTGGCTAGGAGGGAACCGTCCCCGTCATGCCACGAGTGCGGTGCTGCGGATGACACCGCGCAACACACCCTAGAGGTGTGTAGCCGGTGGGATGAGCAGCGCCGCACTCTGACGGGGACTGTAGGGCAGGACCTCTCGCTGCCGAGCGTGGTTGCCACCATGCTCGATAGCGAGGAGTCCTGGGAGGCGGTGGCCTCCTTTTTCGCAGAGGTTATGTCGCAAAAGGAGGCCGCGGAGCGGGTGCGCGAGGACGCGGCAGACGCGCACCCGCTCCGGCGCAGACGTACGGGGAGAAGTCGAAGGCAGTTCGCTGCTCGCTTGATCCCCTAGTGAAACCAGCGGGCTCTGGACAGGGACTCCGGAGTCTGCATTGCACGGCCTCACTCGTCTGGGGGGCGGGTCGGAGGACAACCGACTCGCCCCTCCGTTGGC